GTCTGCCGCATGTGTCACACCTGTCGGGGTCCCCGTGTCCAAGGTTCGTCGCCACCACTCAAGCGCCGGGCCTCGCAGAAGCGATACCGCGTAATTAATACGCGTGGCGTCGTCGTTAACATTCGCTGCAGTGAAGAACACCTCCACGCCGAACAACCACCCCTTAACAGTAGTGTTCTTGTCTGTAGGGTTGAACGGGGGCGGGCTCGTAGGCTTTATCTTGATTGTTGTCACTGCAACTGTTGTCGCTGCCGCCGCTCGCTGCCTATCTTCTTCTTCGAAGCCGCGTGTGAGCTCGTCCAACGGATTGCCGCTCACCGCTTGACCAGTGCTCTCGCCTTCTTCAGCGGGCGACTCCTGGCGCGCTTCACCTCGCGCCTGGCGTAGCTCGTTGTTTTCTTCACGTAGTCTCTCCACTTCTGTCGTTAACGCCTTCATGCCTGCCGACATCTCCGCCACTTGCTGCATCAACGCGTCAAATGCCGCCTGGTCCATGAGTCGCAAGCTACGTCTAACAGGCAACTGGGTACCCGTGATTATCCGGCAACAGTGCAAGCGCAAAAGCTATCGGAGTCGGGCAAGTTTAATTTAATAAACTTTGCAACCAACCGCTTTGCAGCCCACCGTACCAGTCACACCCGTGCCTCTAAACTACCCTGGAAAAGCGGGGTGAACTAGGAAAGTAGCTCTGATACCAGGTGTTATGAGTTGTCAAACAGAGTTGCGCGGAATAACGAATAACGAGGCTGTGACTCAATGAACTGACGATACAATGAAAGGCATGCGATTATATAGCGAGGCAACCTAGCTAGGCGGGAACCTCGGGAACACGAGGTTGAGTGCAGGTTGGGCAAAGGAAAGCCGAAGGCGACGCGAGGTTGCTTCGGCAGCAAGCAAAGCGGCCGAACGTGCACTTCCGAAAGTTGGGGTTGTACGCGGTTGAGTAAACCCCAGTAAGGAAAAAGGGTTTTTCCTTACACACTTCTTACTGCCAGCAGTCCAAAATGATCAACATTACTAGCGTTACGTGGGGTTTTGCATGCGGTGCAGTTTGACGAGAGATTTTACCCTTTGGGCCACTGCATTATACCGTGTTTAGTTGCTCACCCATCGAATCATTCCCTTTCCCCATGTATGTAGGCTTCGTATCCGGGTTTCCAAATTACGCCGATCCGATGAGCATTCTCACCGGTTTCTACCTTGCGCTGTCTTCATACGTCGGGCGTGGCTAACCTGCGCCAAACCTCGACATCCAAGGTCCTCACCTAGCTAGGGTAGGGGCCCTCGACATTAATTGATAACAATACAAAAGGACCTAGTCAGATTGAACAAAGGTGCATGCGCTTAGGGTTATAAACGACAACAGGCTAATGGTACAGTGGTAAAGCTAAGATGCGCTAATTAGAAGGGTGCACTTTTGTCCGGCAGGACATGGTATCACCCTTCATTCTGTATATATAATCATTGTAGAGAGCACTTACGGTATGTAACTGCTTCTGATGAATTGTATACACCATGTTCCTGAATGCTAGTGACCATAGGTACAGTTCATTGACCAATACAACACTGGATACGGTACCATGTCCTCTCCACCATTACACACAATGCCATCCACACCCCCACTGATGCAGAAGCAACAAACACAGGCACACACACTCCTACAGTAAAAATGAACAATATAAAACCGGAGAGAAAGCCGTAGGAGCACCATTTCTAACACTTGACAGTATTCTTCTTGTTCCATCCACTGAGATCCCATATGATCTCACTATCAGTGCCGAGGATGCCACTGTCAGAATCTAGCAGCAGGGATGAATGAACTAGCAGCATGCAGGAGTACAAGTAGTAAACCCTAATTGGGCTGTACCCCATATGGGCTACCCCACTACAGCCTAGACAATATGCAGCATATATGTTTGACACACCCCTATAGGCAAAGTGGGGGAGAACAAGGGGTCAAACGACCAGTCAAGAGAAGCAAAGCAAGCTCAGGGTGGATCTCAACGTCACCACACATTCTGAGCACAAGCAAAGGGCCACAAGGCCAGTCCACATGCAGAGATATATATGCAACAATAACAGTACAGTGATGACTACCTAGCAAGAGCAGGCATGCATGTATATATATAGATCACAGTACAAGCAGAGACTACAGCAAGTGTGGAAACGTAGGCACAAGGCCTAACAGGGTACAAAAGCGCTGATGATCACCAGACGGAAGTGCCTTGGTGAATATATCAGCAGTGTTGGCCCGAGTGGCCATGTGACGAAGACGAAGCTGGCCTCGCTGCTGCAACTCTCGAGCCAGGAAGTAACGCAGAGCAATGTGCTTCGTTCTGTGCTCCAGTCTGTGCTCCTCACACAAGGCAATGGCGGCCTTGTTGTCGACGTACAGCACTGGAGGAGAACGAGGCTGCTCTCCCAAGTCAGTCAGCAGGTAGGTGAGCCAGCGAAGCTCCTGTGCAGCCATGGCTGTGGCGTAGATCTCAGCCTCACAACTGGAGCTGAGAACTGAAGACGAGCGTGTAGAACGCCACGAAACAGAGCCAGAGCCAAGGCTGAAGGTGTAACCCTGTGACGACCGCTGAGTAGCCAGGTCGTCAACCCAAGAAGCGTCTGAGTGCCCAGTGAGGACAACTGGGCTCGTCCCTCCAAGCACTAGCCCCATGCCTGATGTGCTGCACAAGTAGCGCAGTACCCTCTTAGCAGCAGCCATGTGCTCAGGTCGGTGCCGACCAGGAGCCACGTAGCGAGCCAGAAGACCAAGAGGGTACGCGAGGTCAGGTCGAGTGCAAGTCATCAGGTACATGAGGCAGCCGACTAGCTCTGGGTAAGGACCACTCGGCTCTACGGACTCGTCCGAAGGTGGAGCTGAGAGCGTGTGACCTGTAGCCAGAGGAGTGGCCTGTGCTGAAGACCAGGTGAAGCCGAAGCGCTGAAGGACCTGCTGCACCATGTGTGACTGAGTCAAGGTGATGGTGCGGCGTGCTCTGTCCCGGGTGATCTGCAAGCCAAGGTAGCTGCGCAGCTCACCCAAGTCTGTGCACGTGTGTCTCTTCTGCAGCTCCGACTTCACGTGGGCGAGAGCCTCAGTGTCAGCAGTGGCAAAAACCAAGTCGTCGACGTACACGAGGATGTAGAATGGCGGCAGTGAAGTGTCGGTGCGCAGAAACAGCGACGGGTCAGCAGTAGAAGGCGCGAACCCAAGAGCCGCAAGCGTAGTCCTCAGTGTGTCGTGCCACTCACGTGGCGCCTGGCGGAGACCGTAGACCGGCCGCCGGAGGCTCCACTGGGTGCCAGGAGGAAACGACCCAGTGAAGCCCGGGGGGCGGCGCAGCCAGATCTCCTCGTGCTGGCTGCCCTGCAAGAAAGCTGTGCTGAAGTTAAGAGAGTGAAGCTCGTAGTCACGGTGAGCAGCAACATGCAGCAGCACCCGAAGAGTGGTCATCTTCGGGGTGGGGGAGAAGGTCTGGAAGAAGTCAACTCCCTCTCGCTGACTGAAGCCTCGAGCCACGTAACGCGCCTTGAAGACAGGCGGAGAACCCGGCGGCCGCTTCACCCTGAAAATCCACATGCCACTGACGATGTTCGCCCCAGGTGGGGGAACCTCGTCAACGTAGGTGCCTGTGGACTTCCAGGAAGCCATCTCTGCGTCCATGGCTGCCTGCCACTGAGAGGAGTAGGGACCCTCTATCGCCTCTGCGTAAGAGCGCGGAGTCGGGATGTCTGGTGCATCCGGGTCTCCCTCAGGGGCAAGTAGCGAGGACACAAGATGAGGTAAAGCAGCAGCAAGACACTGGAACTCCTCCTGCCTGTCCTCAAGGACGTCCGTGCCAAGAGCACACTCACCCCCGACGGACGGAGGACAGACAGACTCAGACTCAGCAACAAGACTGGCGGCGTAGTCTAGACGACAGGCAGCAGCAAAGTCAACAAGCTCAGCGACCAAGGCAGACGCAGCAGTAGACTCAAACGACGGGTCAGTGACAACAGTGGCTAGGAGACGCGTGGGCTCTGTGCGGGCTGCGCGCGGCTGCAGCGGGCTGCGCGCGGCTCGGCGCGGGCTGCGCGGGCTCTGTGCGGGCTGCGCGCGGCTGCAGCGGGCTGCGCGGGCCTTACGGGCCTCTAGGGGCGGCGCGTGGGCCTTACGGGCCTCTAGGGGCAGCGCGCTGGCCTAGGGCAGCAGGAGGCAGCGCTAGGGCTGCTGGACGGCGCACATAGTGCAGCACGTCACAAGGCAAGGCAAGGCAGGCAGGTACGTGGGGTAGCGCGGTAATCGAAGCGGTAGGTGGGCCCGAAAAAAAACGGTCCTACGGACCTTAGTGCTCTGAAACCATGTCGGCTCTAGCAGCAGGAATGAATGAACTAGCAGCATGCAGGAGTACAAGTAGTAAACCCTAATTGGGCTGTACCTGTCAGAATCCCAGTCACTAACCACTGGGATAAAAGGGCTTGTTTGTGTAGCGGGTGAGTGCACCCATAACCCCCCAGGCCAACATGCCTGTAACCCTTCCCTAGGATCATCGAGGATCTCCAGTGGACCTCTGACACCCCCCCGCACTGGGATGCCCGAGGTGCACACACCGGGATTCGAACCCGAGACCTTCGCTCTGATACCATGTCAGAATCCCAGTCACTAACCACTGGGATAAAAGGGCTTGTTTGTGTAGCGGGTGAATGCGCCCATAACCCCCCAGGCCAACATGCCTGTAACCCTTCCCTAGGATCATCGGGGATCTCCAGTGGACCTCTGACAGTACCCCATATGGGCTACCCCACTACAGCCTAGACAATATGCAGCATATATGTTTGACAGCCACTCCCTTCCAAAAACATCAGCTTATGCAGAAGCAGCTGCACTCGAGGCAGCAGGGCTGCAGGGCACTAGAAGCAGCTGTAGCAGCAGCAGCAGCAGCAGCAGAGGCGGCGGCGGCGGCGGCGGCGGCGGCGGCGGCGGCGGCAGCAGCAGCAGCAGCAGCAGCAGCAGCAGCAACCTGAATCTATTCCACTGCCGTCAGCACATCCCCAGCTGCTCCAACCACAGGATCAACAACAGCTGTACCATCAGCAGCAGCACCAGAGCCGATCATCTCCACACCAATCGCTTCATCGCGTTCTGGACCGTCCAGATCGACGTTCCGCCCAGACGTGATATCCGAGCCGTCGAGGAGCGGCAAGTTGAGGATGAAGCGGCGGAGCATCTCGAGAGCTGCCTCGGGCTGATCCATGGGGACCATGTGCCCCGCCTCATGCACCTGGTGGGGAGAGAGAGAGGGGAGGAGAGAGAGAGAAAAGAAGGCCAGAGAGACAAGCAGGAGACTCAGGTGGATTGCAGGTTGAGGATGAAGCAGTGAAACATCTCGGGGGCTGCCTCGGGCTGATCCATGGGGACCATGTGCCCCGCCTCATGCACCTGGTGGGGGTGAAGGGGAGGGGGGGGGGGGAAAGCGGAAGGGGGAGCGCTAGTTATGGACAAATCGTGAGAGCATCTCGAGAGCTGCCTCGGGCTGATCCATGGGAACCATGTGTCCCGCCTCATGCACCTGGTGGGTGAGGCAAGAGGGGAGGAGAGAGAGAAAAGAAGGCCAGAGAGGCAAGCAGGAGGCTCAGGTGGGTTGCAGGTTGAGGGGGACGAAGCAAGAGGAATTCCAGATCCGAGCTAGCATGAGAGGGGAACTCAGCAAGGGGCGCCGACACTCACGCGCAGGAAGGATAGCGGCTCGGCAATTCTGGCCGATCCTGCGGTCTGGCCGTTGACAACGAAGGGACGCCAGGGAGCCTTGGCATAGCGGTCCATGCCGGGCCACTTCATGGCATTCACCCACCACGAGTTGCCTGCAGGGATCAGAGACAGGGAAGAAACAAAGAGAGGCTGATGTGGAGGGGAGAAGGGTTGGTGTCAAGGGGGCCCTTGCTTGTTTCCTCTGTGGTCCATGCCAGGCCACTTCATGGAATTCACCCACCACGAGTTGCCTACAGAGATAAAGGACAAGACGGATTGGGAAGGTAGAAGGGGGGTGGGGGGCTTGCTGTCAGGCCAGCTATGATTATGGTGCCTTGGCAAAGCGGCCCATGCCCGGCCACTTCATGTCCCACCCGTTGCCTAACCACCCCTCTGCCCTCCCCTTTCTCCCTCTACCACTCACCGATCCAATTGCAGATGTTATCCGCGTGGCCGGCATAAACCAGCACACGCGCGTCCGCAGCCAGCAACAAGTCAAAGAGCATGGCATGGTACGCGCGGCTGCTGCAGCTCTCACTCAACCCTCACTCACTCACTCACTCACCGATCCAGTTGCAAATGTAATCCGCATCTCCCGCGTACACCAACACGCGCACATCGGCCGCCAGCAAGTGCGGCACTTTAGGGGCGAGGTCCCGCATGAAGTCAAAGAGCATGGCGTGGTACACGCGGCTGCTGCAGCTCTCCCACTTGCGGTCCCCCACGCCGAGCGCCTGGCGCACCCAGGGCAGCGCGAGGAACTTGTCTGCAGCTGACATGTCGTAGCAGAGAGGGTCGTCTCCGCACTCTATGCGCACATCGTAGGGCTGGTTGTGGGGGGGGGGATTTGGAAGAGGGACGGAGTGGGAAGAGAACTTGTCTGCAGCGGCTGATTGTCGTAGCAGAGAGGGTCGTCCCCGCACTCTATGCGCACATCGTAGGGCTGATTTGGGGGGGGGTGAGGGCAGTGGGGGGTATGGAAGGGGAACGGAGGGGGTGGGAGGGGAGGGAGAGAGGAAGAGGGAAGGGAGGAGGCATGGGAGCGGAGGAGAGGGGGAGGAGAGAGGTGAAATGAGGGAGGTGGGACGAGGAGGGTGGAAAGAGGGGGGGTGGGCACAGCTCTCTCTCCCACTTGCGGTCCCCCACGCCCAGTGCCTGGCGCACCCACGGCAGCACGAGGAACTTGTCTGCCGCTGACATGTCGTAGCACAGAGGGTCGTCCCCGCACTCTATGCGCACATCGTAGGGCTGATTTGGGGGGGGGAACTTGTCTGCAGCGGCTGACATGTTGTAGCAGAGGAAGTCGTCTCCGCATTTAATGTGCACGTCGTAGGGCTGATTGGGGCGATAGGGGGGAATGGGCATGAACGTCGAGGGGAGGAGGACGTTGGGAGGAGGGGGAAGGGGGACGGGGGAAGGGCGAGGGGAGGAAGGGGTGAGAGGGAGAAGAGGGGGACGGGAAATGGATGGGAGAGGGACGGGAAATGGCCAGGGGGAGGGGGAGGGGGGGGGGAGGTTGACATCATAGCATGTGGTCATGCACGTGGGCAGGGCGAGTGGAAGGACGTACGTTGAGGGTGCCAGAGCCCGTGGCAGCATAGACAGACTTTTGAGAAGTCTCAAACACGGTGCCCCAGAACCAAGAGAAGGAAGGAGGGGGTTGGGTTGCGGGGAGAGAGCAAACACGTACGTTGAGAGTGCCTGAGCCCGTGGCAGCATAGACAGAACCCCAGAACTGCTCGCATATGATGAACGCTGCCCCACAGCTGATCCGACCCGACTCTCCTGCACGGGGGGAAGGGGTTTGAGGGGGAAGAGAGGGGGAAGTGAGGGGGAGAGATCGGGAATAGGGGGATAGAGGGGGAAGAGAGGGAGTGAGGGAAGCGAGGGGGAAGAGAGGGGGAAACAGAGGTGATTGTGAGTGAAAATACGGGGAAAGAGCACGGTCGGGGTTGGGGGGCGTTGTGGGAAAGAGACAGGAGGAGTGGCAGGGGAGGAGAGGTGGTGGTGGGGAGAGAGTGGAATGGAAGTGACGGGAGAGATGGGGAGTGATGAAAAAATTCAGGATGAACGAAAAGTGGTCCAGCAGAAAAAGATATGGGGACAGGAGGTGAGGGGGAAAGGAAAGGAGGGAGGCGGGGGAAAGGGGGGAAGGGAGGCGGGGGAAGGGGATTGGGGGAAGGCTGGGAGGGAAGCGGGGGAAGGGGAAAGGGGGAGGTGGGGCAAGTCTAAACGAGTTCCTCTCAAACCCAGCTCGAAACCTCCCCTTCTCCCCCCTCCCCCCAATCAATCACTCCCAACCCCCCCTCCCCCCTCTTCCACTCCCTCCTCCCATCACCACTGCTCTATCGTCTCCCGTCCGCCCACCACCCCCCTCTCTCCCCGCCTCACCGCAGGAGTGCGCGGCGAAGTGGCAGGGCTTGCTGAAGAGCTGGAAGTGGTGCAGCTGGGCATCTGAGAGCAGCCCGCGCGAGTGCGCAAAGACGGGGTAGCTGGGGAACTGCACCTCGGGATGCGTCATGCCGTTGCCTATCGCCACTCCCTGTTGGGGGGGATGGGGGGGGGGGGGAACGGGGGGTGGGGGAAACGGGGAGGGGGAGGGGGAGGGGGACGGGGAGGGGGACGGGAGGGGAATCAGGGATGCAGGGAGGAAGAAAGGTGACCGGGTAGCTGGGGAACCGCACCTCGGGATGCGTCATGCCGTTGCCTATCGCCACTCCCTGTTGGTTTGAATTCAATCAGGGGTAAGAAAGAGGATGCAACAGGGAATGGGAGGGGGAACGGGACGGGAAGGGGAGGAGGAAGGCGCAAGGGGACAAGGGAAGGGGAAGGGGAAAGGAAGGGTCACGGAGGAGGCTTGGGAGGTAGAACAGCTGGGCGTCTGAGAGCAGCCCGCGCGAGTGCGCAAAGAGGGGGTAGCTGGGGAACTGCACCTCGGGGTGGGTCATTCCGTTGGCTATCGCGACTCCCTGTTGGGGGGTGGGGGGGAGAAAGAGGACGGAGGGGAGGAGACGGAGGGGAGGAGAGGGAGGGGAAGCCGGGGGGGTGGAGTGGAGGGGGGCGGCGCAAGGGGGGGGATGAGGAATGGGAGGGCGGGGAAGGGGGGGAGGAAGACGCAAGGGGGAAGGGGAGGGGGAAGACGCACGGAAGAATGGGGAGCGGAAAAAAGCAAAGGGGAAGGAGGACAGGAGGGAAGAGGAGGCTTGGGAACAGATGCAAGGAGGACTTGCACGCAAGGAGGGTGCAAGTCCTGGAGGGTGCAAGTCCTCCTTGCGTCTGTAGCCACAGGAGTAGTGTTAAGAGTAATCCAGCAAAACAACACGTGAAACGAGGGTGTTTTTGAGACGTCTCAAAAACACCCTCATGATCCTCATTTCACGTTGCAGGAGTCTTGTTAAGCGTCTTCCAGCAAAATACACACGCGCGCACACACACACACAATTGACCCACCTTGAGGTTGATGGGTAACCCCTCCTTGCGCCTGTTGCCGATGACCACTCTGTCCGCTACAGCCGGGATATAGTGCCCCCCATACGACTCCCCTGTTATGTAGAACTCGCGCCCCTGCAGCTCCGGATGCGCCAGGAAGAACTCCTGGTTGTAAGAACAGGGGGAGGGGCGGACGGACGAAAGAAAGGAAAGGGGAGGGGGTGGGGAGAGAAACGGCAGGGATGACTGCCCGGCTATGAAGACTCGCGCCCCTGTAGCTCTGGGTGCGCCAGGAAGAACTCCTGGTTGGTGAATGGAATGAGGGAGGGGAGAGGGGAAATGGGGAGGAAAGCGGGGAAACGGGGGGGGGGTTGATGTAGTGCCCCCCGTATGACTCCGCTGTGATGTAAAACTCGCGCCCCTGCAGCTCCGGGTGCGCGAGGAAGAACTCCTGCCGGTGGGAGGGGGGAGGGGGGAGGAGCCGAGGTGGAGGATGGGGGAGAGGAGAGGAGGGGAAACAGGGACTGGCGGGAGGATAAAGTGCCTCTTCGTACAGCTCCCACGTAATAAAGAACTCGCGCCCCTGCAGCTCCGGATGCGACAGGAAGAAATCCTGCAGGGGAGAGAGAGGGGGAAGGGAGGGTTGCAGGGGGGGTGGGCGGGTGGAAGGGTGAGGGGCGGGTAACGGGAGGTTAGGGGAAGAAGGGGAACGTGGAACAGGGCAAAAACGAGGTGGGAGGGGAGGAGGGAACGGGGTTACGCAGGACGGATAGGGTGTGTGGGGTAGGGAAAGACAGACCGACGGAGAGACAGTCAGAAGGACGGACCGCCGATTGAGGGGACGAACGGAGCGAGGGACGCACGCACCTGCAGGAACTCGTGCATGTCCTGGCTGACGCCGTTCTCCGTGTGGCGCATGTCTCTCTGAGTGCACGGAAAGGGAACTGGCACTCAGTGCGGCAGCTGACTGCCGGACCGGACCGATGGAAGGAAGGAAGGAGGGAGCAAGCAGCGAGCGACTGACCTGCAGGAACTCGTACATGTCCTGGCTGACGCCGTTCTCCGTGTGCCGCATGTCCCGCGGGTCGCTGCTGTAGCTGAAGCCCGTGTTGACTGGCTGGTCCACGTAGATTATGTTGGATACCTGGTCGGGGCAGAAGGGGGAAGCAGAAGGGGGAAGGCAGGGGGGCAGGAACAGGGGGACAGGGGGATCAGAGACACGAGCGGGTCGCTGCTGTAACTGAAGCCAGTGTTGACCGGCTGGTCCACGTAGATTATGTTGGATACCTGTACGCATAGGGGGGAGACAGGGGGCGGAAGACAGGGGGGCATGCCATGGAACAGGGGGGACACGCGGAGAGAGGAGATAAGAGGCGGTCGCTGCTGTAGCTGAAGCCGGTGTTGACCGGCTGGTCGACGTAAATTATGTTGGATACCTGGGGGGAGAAGGGGGGAAGAGGAGGAAAGGAGGGGAAGGGACAATGGGAGGCAGGAGTACACGCGAGCAGGCTTCGCGCGCGCACCATGAACCAGCCATACGGGTTCCACGACACACGCGAATCAAGGCGCTTTGACTCTTTGTTCGAAGGGCGGCGTCCTCTCAACTACTGCAGCCTTTCGAACATGAGTCAAGGTGATCCTACAGGCAAGCAGGCTTCGCGCACGCACCATGTCCCAGCCATACAAGGTTTCCACGACGCACGCGAATCAAGGCGCTCACACACATTCGCACACGCACGCGCGTAGGTTTCGCACGCGCGCCAGCAAACTCCCCGGTACTCTCCCACGTGCCACACGCGTAGGCGTCGCCCACAAACGCACCATGTCCCAGCCGTAGGGGTTCCACGAGAGCGACGCGTTGTCCTTGTTGATGGTGAAGGGCCCGTTCTCGAAGAATAGCGCGATCTCGCTGCTGCACCCCGGGCCGCCCGTCATCCACAGCACCAGCGGCGCCGTGTCCTTGTCGCCGCGCGACTCGAAGTAGAAGTAGAACAGCCTGGGGGGGGAGAGAATGCGCGCGCGGGGGATGAGGAGCGGGAGGGGGAACGGGGGAGGAAGAGCGGAACGGGGAGGGGGAAAGGGAAAGAGGGGGCGGAAAGGGGAGGGGGAACGGGGGAGGGGGAGCGGCAAGGGGAGCGGGGCGGTGGCACTCGGGCGGAGTTGGGGAGCGAACGAAAGTCCATGCGGTTGCACTAACATAGTTAATGACCATGGAAAGAAAAAGAAAGAGACAAAGAAATGAATACAAATAACTTTTGACGGATGAACTGAATTGATGGCGGTCGGGATAGTAAGGGAAGAGTAAACACGGGAAATGGGGGGGTGAGGCGGGAGGGAGGAAAGGGAGGGGAGGGGAAAGGGAGGTCGGGAGGGGACCTGGATGGGGGCGGGGGACGGGCGGGTGGTGGGAGAGCAGCAAGGAGGAAACCTCAAGAGGAAGGAGAGAAGGATAAGGAGGAGAAGGAGGAGAAGGAGGAGAAGGATCACTTGCCTAGCGTCGTGAGTTCGGTTCAGGCGAAAATAACCAGCCGTGTGGCGAATGTCCGGCTCGCCTTCGCCAACGTTTCCGCCAAGATTCGCGCGGTTCACGCGAAGAAGGTCTCCCTCCGGCCGCTTGTACGCGTCCAATCCGAGGTCGAGTGGCTTCTCAACGAGCCTCGGGGATGCGTCAAACGCGCCAAGTCCATCCAATTTTTCCTCGAAAGAAGCCGATTCGATAGTAGAGCCGCGCGCGATGTCACCGCGCAAAGCGGCCATCGTGGGTAGGGCACGAACGGGACTGGTGACGAGGACGAAGAGCAGACAGCAGAGCGCTGCCGCGCCTCGGAGTGCCGGCGCCATGATTACGGAGGAACGCAATGAAGAGTCCTATTGCACGAATATCCTATCTCCGAAGAGGCCAAGAATTCGTGCTGTTTCTGCGGTTCCTGCAACAAGAACGCAGAACAAGATAACTGCTATGCCGAGATGGAACAGGAACAAGCTTGAACAAGCATGGGGCTGGAGGTTATCAAAAGCTGCCGAAATGAATTTAGATGCCAGAGAAATTCACTTCAACTCGGTAGTGTCAGGTACTTGGCGATATACTACAGTTAGATTCTTTTCAATACGGTAAAAAGAGGTTGGATTTGAAAGGAGCAAATTTTGACAATTCCGCATTGGGCATCGAGCAGGCCTTGGATTGTTTGTAGGCGGGGAAAATGGGGTGCGCGGAAGGGAAAGACGGTAAAAACGGGGGCGGCGGGGGAGGGGGCGAAGGGGATTTTGAGGCGGCGGGAATGGGTGAGGGGCGGGCCGCGGGAGGAAGAGGGAAAGCAAAGTCTCCCTGGCAGCAATACGACACTCGGGTGCATCCCTGGTTCGTGGCAGGGCAACTGAGTTGGTGGCAAGTGTACCCAAAAATTCAGTGGGCCGGAAAATGCGCTTGCCACCAACAGTTGCCTTGCCACCAACTCAGGGATGCACCCTCAAACGGCACACAGCCAAACTTCTGCCCGCCCGTTTGCAAAAAGTGAAGAAGGGGGGCTTGGGTGTAAACGGTGATTGGAGGAGGACAGGTCTCATGAACCACAATCTACGGACGGATGGGGTCGTTCAAAGCGCGCTGAGGTCAGTGTCATCCATCACCCAGCCAGCACAGCACAGCCTCCGTGGCCACATGCATTGCAGACTGTCGTGGCAAAGTCCACCAATTGCGACAATAGAATCTACTATCGATAAAAGGTTAAACGCGATATGCGATACAACACATTATTCTGTCACCAAGTTGTTATCTTATAGCGCCACGAGTTGTGGGTAACTAATAGAGCTCTTCCTTTGATGTTTCTGTTTTTAGTGAATTTATGATCGCAAATTGTTGTTAAGACAACCTCGGGCCAGCCAACTTGTCGGGTATAATTCTCACCCATGTCGCTAGCAAGGGTGCACTTTGGGGGGGGTGGAGGCAAAGGTTTATCACTTGCCTCCACGTGGTTACCCTGTTTGTATTGGAAGGGTAACGCGAACCCCACTATAGTGTTGGCGGACTTGCGCGGGTTGTATATCCCCCGTCGCGACGGGCCAAGTGGGAGTTGGGAACTTGAGTCACCACCAGGCAGTTTGTGAACCATGACACGCTCAACCCCCCTACCACACACATATTGCTTGCAAGGAGAGGAGCATATAGCACAGCAACCATAACTCTAGCGCGACGCTATATAAACTAGACAGAGAGTGGAGCTCATTCACGCCGTCGTAAAAAACGAGGCGTAGGGTGGCAACCATCTAATTTATCGCGTCCGCTCCGTGTTTATCTCTTCCGCACTGGAGATCTTCCGCGACATCGCCCAGCAACTTAGGCGCACATTTCCACGACTGTAGCGCTCATCACGCGCCCATCGTATCTGGCGGACGAATAAAACGCCCTCAAATCGCGCGGAACACGTGGTGGAATCGAGTGCTATCCTAAAAATCGGGCCGCTAGAGAGGTACCGGATAGGATCGTGTAAAAACGGGCAGGGGAGCAGTCGCTTGCAGCGAGGAGGGCCGAGGCGTGGACGGGAGTGAGTCGCAGCCTTAATGTTGCTTGACGCTAACCTGGTGTGAGCAGCGACGCTGTCGCGCCACGCGGACGGGAATGACCAGCAATAACGATGAGATGCGACGGGGATGGGCGCCAGAAAGAGCGAGGGAGGTAGGCAGTTGTTGGAGGTGCTGAGGCGGCGGGATTATGCATCGAGAGGCGCGGGGGAAGGGGGAGGGGGGGGGGGGGGGGGAAGGGGGGGGAGGGGGGGGGGGGGGAAGAGGGGGAGGGGGGGGGGGGGAAGAGGGGGAGGGGGGGGGGGGGGGAGGATACGCCGCGCGGGAGAATAAGCAGTGAATGGGCGCGGGGGAATAAGAAGTGAGTGAGCGCGGGGGAATAAGCAGTGAGTGGGCGCGGGGGAATAAGCAGTGAGTGGGCGCGGGGTAATAAGCAGTGAGTGGAGAGGGGTGGGTTCACCTCATCAGCTGCATGGGGTGGGTGCATGGGGTGGAGTGCAAATACACCCGAAAGCGCCGTGTATGCAGGCACGTGGCGAGCCGCTCCGACACCGCCCAGGAGGACAGCACCATGCGCGCCCTGCGCATGTCCGCCACCAGCTGCAGTGCCTCCTGCATGTGGCGCTCCTTGGCACACAACGCTATGGCCTCGCTGTAGCTCCCCGCCTCTGGTACCACTTTCGCATCGCCCGTGCTGCCGTTAGGGGGGTAAATTGAGAGGAGAGCGGGGGATGGGTGGGGGATGGCGGGGATGGGAGGGACGGGAGGGGGGAAGGGGCATGCAGGTGGGTGGGAGCGGGAGGGGCAGCATGAGCGGTGGCAGGGAGGGCAGGGCGGGAGGGGTGGCAGGGGGGGCCGGGGAGGGGCTTGAAGGAGGCAGCAGGGCATACTTGGAACGACCGGTGGTGTAGTGAGCGAGGCAGAGAGGTGTCTTAGAGTCAACCCAAACCACCAAACCCCAGTCCCCTTACCCCCGAATAGTATGCAGAATGCTCGTGCACCCCGAAACCACCCGCGCCATCAACCCGCTCCTCCTTTCTCCCGCGAACCGCCAAACCTCAAAACCCAACCCCGAACCCCCTTGCCCACTGCAAACAACCTCTCTCCCCCCCCTCCCCTCCACGAGCGCCCAACAGCCGGCGCAGGAGAGACCCCTGCCTCGGTTGCGCCTCCCCCTGCGCCCGCGCCCTTGTCCTTGCGCATACACGCGCGGAAGAGAGCAACCAATTCGCGGAAGCGCGCGCTCCTGGCGAGCTTTTCCTGCGCCTCGTACAGCTCCGCCAGCGTCGCCAGCCCCGAAGCCTGCTGCGCTGCCGCCTCCGCCTCCGCCTGCCCCCTCGCGCCCATCGCGCGGGCATCCACACTTGCCCCGCCGTCGCTGCTCCGCGCCACATCCAATGACTCCTGCGCGCTCGCATCAACGTCGCTATAATCCGACGCGCCATCCTCACGTGCCTCGCTCTAGTCATCATCGTTTTCGTGCGACTGCGCAAGATCGTCAGCAGCTACACTCAGCACCTCGCGGTGAGACGACCCAACTAACCCAGATACTGACGCCCCGCCTTCCTCTCCCGCATCCTTCCGATCGCTGCTACTAGCCGTCGATCCGGGACCTATTCCAGCCGTTGATCGAGGGAAAAAACTAGCCGTTGCTCTGCACCCGCTAAAACTGCGCTAAGATGGCTATGATGACGTTAGGGAGATCTGGCGACGGAGCGAGCGAGCCACGTCGTTGGTGAATATGCGGTGGTAACCACTGCAACCTGGACGGACGGCTAGGGGATGACGAGATCCTGCCGATCCCGGCTGTGGATGCTGGAGGGACGGCGACGCGCTATTGGATGTGGGCTACGAGCGCGGGAGAAACGAAGGCAGCGGACGAGACACGAGCGGCGGGAGAGGTGGACAGGTGGGAATGCGGATGATGTGACAGGACTGATAGCGATAGATCAGTCGCCGTCTGATCCGGTGGGGAAACAGCGGTCGCCAACGAGCCGCGCGCATGATCTACTCGCCGTAATTCACTCTGATCGAGCGGGGCGAAGGGATAGGATCCAACGAGGAGAGGAGCTGCTGCAGCGGCGAGAGTGGCTCCGCACGACGACGCGCACGCCGCCACGCGGACACGCCACTGCGAGAGAGCAAAAGACAGAGTGGAGAAGCGGGAAGGAGTTACGGGTGAAATGTATCCGTTTGTACTAGACAGAGTGCATGGAAGCGAGGTAGCGAGGCGGCTGTGTGAGGGCGAAGATGAGGCACCAATCGAGGCGAGGCGGCGAGTCAGCGACAATCTGGCGGCGACGCGCCGACGAGAAGGCGAGGCGTCGCCCGGACAGGAGACGAAGCTGTGGGAGGCGAGATAGGCGGGGAGGCGAGAGGCTGTAGAGGATAGGTTCCGGCGAATCGGGGTGGAGGATGTGATGTGGCGAAATGACGAGGAAGCAGCGAAGACAGGAAAGCGAAGCGCCGCTCACGCGACGACGTCGCGAGCTGGCCGCGATGACGCCATTCACATGAGAAGAAAGGCTGTACCATGTACACGTGGAAGGACGAGCCTCCTATGTGTGGGCTATGTTGCTGTGGCAGCAGTGGAAGTGCTTGCGTAGCTGCCTCCCCTCCCTCGGGTTGTTGAAGCTATCACTGGTTTATCATTGTCTGGTTTATCACTTCATCATCCCCGCTTGCTTCTCACTTCCGCGATTGATTTCCGCCCTTCCGCAGTGTATTCCCCCAACCAAAAACCCGAACGAAATAGGTAGGCATCGCCTGCCTTGTTTCAATTCCTCGCACCAGCCTTCATACCCTGCAAAATTCGCCCTCGAATCAGCAAGCGCCAGAGGGTGTGCACTAACAATACACCCAAAAGCCACCCCCAGGAATGTGCACCGTCGCTTTAACGCTTTTGAGGTGGTACTGTAAAGAACATAGAGGCGATTAATATCGAGAATCACAAGCACGACCTGTCTCGATTCATTTATATCCTCCATGGACGCTGATTTTGGTTGTGTACACGCAGATCTGGAGATGAAAATGTCTGGTGGAAATTGCAGAAGTCTTTGTTGACGTGTCATAAAGTGTCCCTGACGACCCTTCACCCGCGTCTGCCAGCTCGTAAGCCATAGAATCTCCAATCAGATGCGTTTACCACCTAGTCACACATTCTGTCTCCAGAAAGACCTTTGTTGCGTCAGAATTGCCTTTCCGCCACGTCAGCTTCACTCCACTCCCATATCAGCGCTTCGGAGTCTCCAATTGCACGTCAGCGCGCCTCACTGCGAAGCGCGAGGGAGCAGTTGATTCAACGCGCGAAACATACACAGTTTCGCAGAAGCAGAGCTGACATTCGCGATAAACCAGAGCGAGACCATCACGAAAACATCACAAGGGCTGAGCGAGAAAGGTAACCTGGTACGCACTTTCGAAGTCGAGCGGGTCCTGAAAACCACTACTGCTTGTCCGTCTGCTTGTGCTCCGCCGCCTCTCTGTCGTCATTCCCAAGGTTACCGCAATCCCGCAGTGTTCCCCGCTCGCGCACTCATCTTTCCAAGTTTTCCCCTTCTGTGTCACACACACGTCACAGTGTACTTTCCGCCACCACTCCACTCCCTCATCGCCGACCCGTCCGCCGCGGCCGCCACTCGCTGCGAACGCCTGTTACGCAAAGCTGCACGGTGTACGCGCCGCGACTGTGCATAAACGGGCCACTACCACCCCGCCTGTGCTCGTGCACACGAGCCGCATTCTCAGAAGTGTGTCCACATCCGATCAGATCAGGTTCCTTTGTACGGCAGCTTTCGCGCGTTCTTACCCCCCGAAACGTTATTGAATCTCCTTGTAACGCGACTGACGCGGCTCGGTTGGAGAGCCGGAGCGTTCGTGTCTGAAACGGAGCGCTCGGTCATTCGCGTCGCGGCCGGTGAAACAGTGTGGCTGCGGCGGCAGGATCTAGGAAATATTTGTAGCAGCATCAGTGGCAACACTTGCCATTGGCACGGCAATCGGCAGCACACCTGTAATACCGTATTGAACCGACTAAAGCCACCAGTTTCACAGCTGATATACGCGGATCGAGGGGGCTTGCTGGATTTGGACTCTTCCTACTTGGGCTTCCTCCGCTTCTTTCGCTTCCGCCGTTCCGCCTTGCAAAATGCTTCCTTGCGCCACCCTTGGCCCGCTTGCCTCTGCGCCTGCCACCGCCTTCCCCGCAAGCATCTGCGCCGGCACTCTCCGCGCCGACAGCCGCCGCGGGGGCAGCGCAAACTCCGCAGGTTGTGAAAAGTCAACGGCTTTCCCTTCCCCCCGGCCTCCGCTTGCGCGGGGGTTGTGCGGATGGGACCACCAGCGGAAGCGGAGCCTGGGGGGCGGTCAGGGAGGGCGCGCGGGGCGGGTGCTGGTGCGCGCGCAGGGTTCGCCGGGGAACGAAGGGGAGAATAGCGACGAGGAATCTTTCGCTGACGTGGAAAAGGTAAAGAATACCTGGTTAGATCAGGAGGCTGGAGGAATGAGGGGATCGGAACGTCACGGAGGGAAAACGAAACAAACACGGAAACGGAAACGCAAACGCAAACGCATACGCAAACGGAAACAGAAACAGAAACAGAAGCGGGTGCGATCAGCATGGGGTGGGGTGGGGGTGGGGAGGGGGGAGGGGGGGAGGGGGGGGGGGAGGAATCTTGGAGCCCCAACTAAGAGATACGGATTAACCTGGGATGAACAGCATGCATGACAAACGCTCTATAGCCATGCTTGTGGAAACCTCCCGCCACCCCTCCGCTATTTCCTCCAGACACGTCTCACCACCCGCTCCCCCCGCCCCCATCTTCCCCTCTCCACCCACGCGCCTTGTTTTATCCCTGCCTCTTCCGCCGTCTGCGCAGGGCGATCTCACACGCTCCCCAGACCCTCCATATGAATCCCACTCTCCCTCAGACCACTTCCCCTTCCACCCCCCTTTTTCCAGCAATTTGTCAACCACTTCATGCTCTTCCTCCCCTCAACTCCCCCATACCTACCCAAATTCCCCCCTCAACTGAAGGACTATTTCACGTTCTCCCTTCCCGTCCTGTCCCCGCGTTCCCCTCCCGTCCCCTCCCCCCGCCCGATGTCCCCTACCAGCAACTGATGAACTATCTCACGTTCAGAGCAGTCAAGACAAGCCTTTCAAGTGTCTTCCCGCCCCCACCTAATCATCCTCGTCGCCCCCCTTCCCCCTTATCCCTCCACACACCCCCCACCAGCAACTGATGAACTAGTTCACGGTCAAGGCGCTGAAGACTAGCCTTCCTAGTGACCACCCTCTTCCCAATCTGCCTCTTTCCCCCTATACCCCCTTCCTTCCCCCTTCGTCCCTCTCCTCCTGCCTGCCCACCCACCAGCAACTTATGGACTATTTCACGTTCAAGGCCGTGAAGACTAGGTGCCATAACTCCACCCTTTTCCCCCGATCAACCTCGTACCCCTCTCCCCCACGCGACCCCCCGCGCCCCCCACCAGCAACTGATGGACTAGTTCACGTTCAAGGCAGTGAAGGCTGGCCCTCATAATCTCCCGCTTCCACCCCAATCAACGTCTTTCCCTTTTCCCGCCCACCTCCTCCCTGGCCCCCAACCCTTCCCCGCCCCGTGCCCGCCCACCCACCAGCAACTGATGGACTACTTCACGTTCAAGGCAGTCAAGACGGTGCTGCAGCAGCTGCTAGAGATGAACCCCAGCCAGTACAGCTTCCTCTACGAGTGAGTCCTCTCTCTCTTTGACTGACCTCTATGCGCGGGTGAAGCTGCCAAGGGTCAAGACAATGCTGCAGCAGCTGTTAGAGATGAACCCCAGCCAGTACAGCTTCCTCTACGAGTGAGTTCCCCTTTTCGTCCCCTGACGCATGAAGCCCGGGAGGAGAGGGGTTGAGCTGTTGGGTTGTCTAAAGAAGTGAAGATGGTGCCGCTTACGTAACTTTGAAGGAACCTAGAAAACACCCTGTCACCCTTCCCTCCCTACACATCTCCTCCCTCACCCTTCCTTTCCTCCAACCATTTCCCCCCCTCACCCCACTTTCCCCCAAATCCTCCCCAACCCCTGCCCGCGCCAGCCCCCCCTCCCCCATGTGCAACTCGTGTTCCCCTCCGCCAGCTTCACAGTAAACAACTGGATTGTCGATATTTGAGGCGCCTCAAATCTCACCTTCGCGCCATTCCGCCAGCTTCACAGCGAACAACCGCATTGTTGATGGCTCAACCTACATTCGCTCCTTGAGGCGCCTCAAAAACTCCCCAACCAACCCCCCGCCCCGCCTCCCCAGCCGGGCCTTTTCCCCATGTGCAACTCGTCTTCACCCGCCAGCTTCACAGGTAACAACCGGACTGTTGATTTTTGAGGCGCCTCTAAAACCTCCTTCCCCCCTGCGCATCTCGTTCCCCCCCAGGTTCACAGTGAACAACGGGATTGCTGACGGGTCAACCTACATTCGCTTCTTGAGGCGCCTCAAAAACTCCCCAACCAACCCCCCGCCCCGCCTACCCCTCCTGGCGTTCCCTTCATGCGCATCTCGTTCCCCCTCCAGATTCACAGTGAACAACGGGGTTGCTGACGGGTCAACCTACATTCGCACGCTCGTGCAGGTGAGATGGGAGTGGGAGGGGGGAACTGGAGCAAGGAGGACAGGGGGGTCTGGTGTTTGGGTGGTAGTGAGGTGGGGGGTGGGAACAACCGCATTGTTGACGGGTCAACTTACAATCGCACGCTCGTGCAGGTGAGATGGGGGGTGGCAGGGGGGAACTGGAGCAGGGGGGTGGGGAGACTGGTGTGTGGATGGTAGTGGGGGAGCGGAACAACCGAATTGCTGACAGGTCAACTTGCATTCGCTCGCTTGTGCACTTGAGTGGAGAACACAGCCGGGAAGGTGGGGGCGATGGGGGAAGGTAAGGGAACACGTGAAAACACATCTTGTGCATTATTCGAGTCACCTTTGAGAGGACACTCACATTAGTGAGTAGCCTCACTATCAAAAGTGAAAACACGTGAATTTGGTAAGTGCCTGGCCCTTGCACAGCATCGACACAGCATTGGAGAAAGCCTCCCAGGTGATGCTTTACTTGAATAAAAGGGGTCTCCTAGCGCTGGTTAAGGGTTTTCAGGTACACGCCATGCCTTGCACAGCTTCTTTCTCCTCTCGCTCACGCTCATCACCAGCAGGAGCTAGGCGAGTGAGGCATGATCAGCAAATGTGGGTACCAGATTGCGAAACAGGCTGCAACTTTCACACATTTCCACCCACTCTCTTGCGCGCACCCCTTGTCATGCCACTCCAAAACGTTCCACCACCACGAATCCCATGGGTCTCTCCTCACTGCAGGGGCGCCACGAGCTAGGGAAATGAGTCATGATTCACACAGCTGGATCTCTTTTTGATTTCACTCACCGCTGCTCATGCCACTCCTTGTGCCCGCACTCTCTCACCTCGCCACTCCACGTGCATCCCTCCCATGGGACTCTCCCCACCACACCACAGGAGCGACAGGAGCTAGGGGAGAGGGTCATGATCACACGGCTGGATCTCTTCACTCGGTGGAAGAAGGTGAGAGATGCCTGCACCTCTGCTTCTGCTTGTCTTTTTTTTTTTTTTTTTTTTTTTTTTTTTTGGGGTGCTGGTACCAATGTATGCCTTTATATGTTCTTTCCAGCGTGACCCTATCTACTCCTATACCTTCCAAGTCAACCCCCACCCAGTTCTCCCTGCCACTCCCACTCACACTCCTCGTCACGCTCCTCCTCTCTTATCCTCTTGCCTACTCCCCTTCACCAACTCTCTCCTCCCACTGCAACTCCCACTCAAGCCTGTATGAGGCAATGAAGGTCCAAAACTTGTCATCTGTAAGAGAGCACCTGTTGATACCCTATCTACCACTCCCAATGCTACAACCATTCTTCGAGAACTCTCTTCACTTAAAGCACTCCTGCCTCCCTTGTTCCTCTTTGCACCGCTACTCTCGTTCGAGCTTGCATGAAGCAATCGAGAAGCAGACAACGGCGCTGCTGAGAGAGCATCTGATAGTTCCCCATCTACCACCCCCCCACTCCCACATCCCTCTTTGGAACCGGAACTTCCGTATCCTTGTTCTTTCTTGCAGCGCTACTCCCACTCCCACTCGAGCATCCACGATGCGATCAAGGACCACCAGCAGCGCCAGGTTCTGCTGGCGCATCAATGAACCTGGCGCTGCTGCGACAGCACCTGCTGATTCCCTACCTGCTCCCTGAAACCCCCTCCCGAACCTGCCCCTCCTCCCTTGTCCCCTGTAGCAGCGCTACTCCCACTTGAGCATGCACGATGCGATCAAGGAGCAGAACCTGGCGCTGCTGAGAGAGCACCTGCTGCAGACAGTCAGGTTTCAGCCAGAGGAGGCTGAAGGCTCCTCCTCTTTATTCCTGACCCCCCCCACCGCTGCGTGAATTGTATCGGTCGTGACGGCGACGCAATTCCCTGCTGATTCCCTACCTGCTCCCTGAAACCCCTTCCCGAACCTGCCCCTCCCTTGTACCCTCCTCCCTTGTCCCCTGTAGCAGCGCTACTCCCACTTGAGCATGCACGATGCGATCAAGGAGCAGAACCTGGCGCTGCTGCGAGAGCACCTGCTGCAGACGGTCAGGTTCCAGCCAGAGGAAGCTGATGGCTCCTCCTCTGGGCCTGCTCCCCCCACGGCTGTATGAATGCTGTATGAGTTATGACAAGTACCGGAGGGAGTACAGTGGCACGATACCGTACTCTCTTGGAGATTATTTATGGCACGTAAGGTTATCTTATTGAAAGTTTATGTTTGTTGAATTGATGGATTTGGTTTGACGGTGTTTAGGGTGTGGCGAGTTGGTTGGTATGGTTGAAGGAGGGAACACATGATGGCAGGTGCAATAGATGTGAACGTTCTCTAGATGGGCGACATGATTGGAAACAAGTGTTGTGAGTGGGGATTGTGCACATGTGTCTATGGATAGTATTTATAATGGCATGCTTGGAAGGGAAACATATGGATAGCTATTGACTCGCAGTAGCCATGTTTATTATGGTGCTACTGATGGCATTTCTGGCCAGTGATGTGTAGTGCCAGAAAACGTTGAATTTGTTGGGGGTACTGCACGGAGTGGGTGATCTGGAAAATAATTTCACGAAGCAGCACCTTGAGGTGAAACTTCAATCGAGACTTCTTCCCACACGCTTCCCAACCAGCTCAGCTTCATCACCTTGTCATCCCACGGAACCGCACAGGACCGCAAGGAACCCTACTTCCTGACACCCCCAAGCTCCAACCCGAGCTCAAGCCACCCACATTCCCCCTTGCCTCGCCCTGTCACCCGCCGCCTCTCGCGGGAAACTCCATTCTTCCCCGAGTCAGCGCAGTCGTTTTGTCTGCAGACTATCTCCTGCAATATAATCAGCTTTTTCTGGACAAGAGAGGAAGCAATTTAGGTTCTAATTTTATTCTCCGTTTCTCACGCTTTCAATGATGACGCAGCTTCTGTCGCTTGAACCCAGCTGCGCCTCACTCTCCTGTGTCCGCGTGGCCCCCCGCGCCGCCCCCCGCGCGCCCGTCCGCGCACCTCTTGTTTCCGCGGAGGCATGCTTCCTCACGTCCGGAGCCCGTTTCCGCATTTCCAGCCCCCATTTCCCCCTCTCTTCCGCGCTATCTGCGCAATACTCCCTCAAAAGCGCCTCCTCCGCGCGCGCCAGGGGGAAGGGGGACGGGGAGGCGGACCCGCGCGAGCGCCCGGAGCCGGTGGAAGCGGAGATAGTGGAAGAAGACGAGTGGGACCAGTGGCGCGGAAGGGGGAGGGCGGGCGGAAGCGGAACGCGCGGGGCGCAGGGGGGGTTTAGTTCAGACGAGCGGGAGATGCTGCGCAGATTGGGCGCGGAGGAGCTTCCCCCCGGGTGGGACTCCGCGGACGTGTATCTGCTAGAGGAGAACGTGTGGGCTAGCAAGCCCTTCTGGTGAGAATATTCTGGGATAGTGCACTGTTATCGGGTAACATCCCCTGAAGAAACGAACGAACGAACGAACGAACGAAAGAAGGAAAGAAAGAAGTAAATGAGAAGCTTCTAGAAGATGAATGTCACCGCAGAATGTAAAGCCACGTCAGCTGTCCCCATAGTATGGCCTCGCCATCTCGCCACCTCGCTGCAGACCTTCCGTTCCCGCCTCGTTTGCCAAGCCATCAGCACACCTACCCTTCCTCGCACCTTGTCTCGGTTTCTCCTCCTCGCACGCCTCGTTTATATGAAAGTCACAGTTGGTAGCCCTTCCTCTTGTCTTGGTCCTGCTGACCGGCCTCCTCTCCATCCATTGGTAACCCAGACAGGATTCTATTCACATACGGTAAGATAATAACAATTGACTGTTACATATCTCGGGTTGATTATGTGATGACACACACCTGACTTGCGGAAGGAGACGTGACATTGACCTCCCCGCACCTCCACCCCCACCTTCGCTTTCTCTCTTCCTCCTTCTTCCCCCACCCACCCCCACGCATCTGACCCCTTCCCATCCAGGTGCCAGCCGTGGACGATAGTGCTGACGGGAGCCATGGTGGTGGGGATGTCATGGGTCGTGCTGCACTTCATCTTCGTCACGCTCCTCGTCGCCGCTGCCATCGGCGTCTGGTGGCTCACCTTCCTCGTCGCTTACCCCGCTGTAAGCAAGCGCAAGGGCAAGCGCAAGCGCATTACAAGGGCAAGCGCAGCTGCTGTTATTAGTGCGTGAGCCAGCCTGGCAACTCCTGTTCAAGCAAGCACCTGCTGTGCCAATTTCTTTCTCCAATGGCTGGCTTTCCCATCAGCTCACGAGGCACCCAATTCTTCCTCAGAGAATGTTTTTTTGGTCACTCGCATTGGAGCACTTTCTCTCTCTCTATTTGGTTGCTTATCTTCATTTCTCTACTACGTAGTTCCTTTTTTGTTCACATCTGACTGGCTGCTTCTGAGGCTCAGACAACCGTGGTTGGTGGTGGTTGTGCATGAATCCTCTTCACTTGCAGGCTTACAAAGAAATGGTGCAAGAGGAGAGGAGGAGGAGGGGACTGTAATGTAGCACTACAGTACATTCCAATGGGTGACTGACGGTCTGTCAGTGACAGACCAGAAGATTCTGTAGTGTTGAGTGAGGCTTGGTCTTTGTACATCTGTTTGTGTCTTTGAGTGTACTGATTTTTTTTCTGTAATTATTGTTTAGATGCTTGTCATGTAGACTGATCAAGGCTGATGCCATCATTTAGTAATGCTGCATCAGAATATGGGGTTAAAGGGGACTACTAAGAAACGCGTATGGAATGCGTAAGAAACGCGTACAGCCTTGCGAGCTCGAACAGCTCGATTTGCGATATAGTGCATTCGCTAATGTGCCGAGTTTGGCGCAAGTGTTTATTCAAAAAGCACACAGTCGAGGAACAGAGGAAAATAACAAAAGCAGACCTGAAGGTCGTAACTAGGCCTAAGGGGCCGCAGTTATTCCTGATCCACACTGGATCAATCTCCGCAATTTCAGGTATCGTTGCGACCATCGGAGCATTTGAAACGTACTTGTGATTTAGACGCCAAGTCTTGCTATCTACGCCGACGGTTAGAACTTAAAAGAGAAGAGCGTTTGGAAGGGCTTCGTCATGACGCATATAAGAACAGCCCCCGCTATAAGCGCAATCTCCGCGACCACCACCACGCCGACGACTGCGCCGCGCGAGCTCTCCGGCGCCGCGGACACGATCAGCGACGCGACGGACGCGACGATTATCGCAGCGATGATCAACACGATAGAGATGATCAACCAGTGCGTGCGACGCGTGTTGCTCTGAATCTTCTCGGCTTTCTCGAGGTCTTTGGTCCCGTCCACGATATGCGATACCGCTGCATCCACGCCCACCTCAATTTGATTCAGATACTCTCCCTGCGTTTCCACCATAACCGCCATATCCAAGAACATGCCTTGCAGCTCCACCATTTCCTTGGTAACCTGTTTGACGACGTTCATCTTCTCGTCAATATCCACGACGGCGTCTCGCAGCTGGTCCTCGTTAATCGTCACGTCGCGGCCTTGCATTCGCACCGCCTTTTTTAACACATCCTCGCTCTGCCCGTTCTCGAGAATCTCATCCAGCATGTCGTCAGTCGCCGGTTTTCCCGTCACCATGAACAGATGCCGCTGCAGTTTCTTCCGGCTCTCGTTTTGAACCTCCTCTTCGACCACCATCACCAGCCGGTGCAGTCCGCGCAGACGCTCCGCCAATCCAACGGTAATATTCGTCCGGTGGCGATCCTCCGCGGTTCCCGGGCCGCTTCCGGGTCGCATGCGATTCGCCTCGTTGTTCAGCTTTAACTCCTCCAGCATTTTCTTAATCTTCTTCGTGCGATTCTTGGCTTGCGCGGAGGAGCGCTCCGCGTCTTTCCGCAGCTCCTCTAGCTTCTCCGGGCGAGCCTCCTTTAACGTCAGGTTGTTTGCGTTCCGCACCTCGCTGACGTCATTGTTCGCCTTCTTGATCTCCTCCTCAATCGCCGCCACCTCCGCATTGAACGCCGTGAAATCCGGGCCTGCCGGCGCGACGGCTGATGCTCCCGGTCCCCCCGCGCCCCCCGGCCTGGGTGGAGGCGCGAAGCTTCGCGACACGTCCCATGTCTGGGTCCAAAGATTGTTCATGGCTACTTGTTGTTGTTCAACTCGGCTCGCTGGACGGTAGGAGTTCCTTAGCTGGTTGGAATGGTTTACGGTAGAGCAATTGATACGTGCGAGGGGTAAAGGATGTGTGCGCTAGCTGGTTACACGAAGTTGTCGGCGCCGATTGCGCGGCTTTCTGGCCGCTGCGTGACAGGCTTTTGCCGGCTATTCTCGGGGGACTTAGATTGTTTAGACGGGGAAGCTGGCGAGCTTGGCAGTTGTCGTTCTACGGACTGCTCAGGGGGAGTTGAAAATGACTTGTGCAGAAAATTTGCCTAGGTTAGCAGAGTCTGGATAGGTATCTTCGCTGGATAGTGGATGGGCTTTCTGTAGTGCGTGAGCACTTGCGTGAATGAGTGAAGCGCGTGTCGAATGAGTGCACGATGGTACAGTAGGCCTTCGCGACTTAGTTGTGGGATTCGTACAAATGGGGGGGATATTAACACAGTTGCGTGAGGAAATGGATGAGCACGATGGTCTCAGGTAAGAAGTTGTGGACCTCGACTCTCGTTTATTCGGGTAATTGAAATCGAAAGGTGTTTAGTGGACCTTGTTGTGCCAATGGTGGAAGAATTCTCCACCCATCAATCGCGTTCGACGTGTGAGGAACGCGAAGTTGGCCCGATATGAGGGGCTGTGGGCTCGGGCTAGCTTGGCGTGTGAGGGAGGGAAGAAAGGAGGGTCTGGTGAAGGGAGGGAGGGAATGTGGGGTGGGGAGAGAAGGGGTGAGGTGTTGAAATTGGACGTCGTCGTAATTGCGTCCGACTTCGTTCCGAATCGCGAGAAGAAAGTTAGCTGGGCAGCTTGAAAGTCGAGGTCTTCCAAAGAGTGGGTGACTGCTGCTTTGTTGTGGGAGACCAGAATTTCAAAAGCTGGTAGCAATGGTGTAGAAGTTCGACTCGGGCAGGCGACGGCAATTCACCCAGTGCTGGGCAGCTTGTGCCGCAGGGCACGCTCGCGCTTCCTCAAAGATTTGGGCGTTCCTCTATGGTAGGAACGAAATCAACGACGTCGGGTGAAGAAAGGAAGGGTCCAGCACGGCCAGGCCACAATTATTGGTCGCTCGGACCCACCAATAATGTCAGAACAGCTCGGGAACAGAATTTAGTACGATTGGGAGAGAGCTACATGTTACACATAGAATTTAGAAAGATTGAGAAGCCTCCATCTATAGACAAGGAAATTATCTAATGAACAGCAAACATAGCATCTCAAGTACCGTTATCATCTAGCCACCTCCCATCCATCGAAGTAGGTCTGTCCTTTGATTCCCCTAGCAGCATTAATAATCCTCTTGAACAACGAATAGGTTCGGAAAAAGGCAGTGAGGAGGAGGTATTGCCTTAACGAGAGTTCCAGAGACACCAAATCAGCAGCAATAACTGACGCAGAAGGTTGAGCATCGGATGAAACGGAATGGGTGGCACGTGAACCTGATCGCACCGCTCTCAACACCTGCAAAGGCTGCACGTGCAATGGCCGTTCCAACACCCGTGCAGACACCTCCTGTCCTCCCCAATTCCCTTCCATCATCTCACTTCCTCCACTCCCTTTTCCCCCTTTCCCCATTTGTCCCCCCTGGCTCCTTAGACTGCCCCCACTCTCCTTGCTTCCATCCCATTGTTCTCCTTGCTCGCCCTCAGTACCTTTCACTCCCTTGCCTGCACCTATCAACACCTCCAGCTGCCCAACTGCACTCCTCTCCACCGCTCGACCTACACGGGAGATCTTCTTTAACAAACCCTCCTCGCCTTCCACTGGAAACAGCTTCGCCAGACCCTTTCGCCTCGCCCGCTCCCTTGCGACTCGTAGCAAAGCCGCCTCTTCATTACCACTCCCTTCCCTCTTCTCCTTCTTTCCGTTTCCTCCTCCTGCTGCTGCTCCTGCTCTTACGTCTGCTGCTGCTGTCAGTGCTATTTGTTCAGAAGCCAATTCTTCTCCCCCCAGGTTTGTTCTTTGAGGAGCACAGGTTGAAAAGAGCGCGGTGGATTGCGGTAACGTGGGGTGAGGTACGGTGGTGGAAGAGCCTGGATGAGAGAAGACAGGGATGAGAATGGTTGTGGGTGGATAGACGGGGTTTGGAGGTGTGCGGTGCGGTGCTTGCAGGAATGGGGAGAGCGAGTCGAGCAGGGAACGAGGAGAAGGAGACAGGAGAGAAAGAGTGGAGAGAGGTGGTTTGCTCGCAGTGCCTGCTGCTGCTACGGCTGCCTCTGATACTGCTGCAGCTGCTGCTGCTCCAGGCAGGTGGGATGGGATTGAAGAAGAGGAGGAGGAGGAGGAGGAGGAGAGGCGGACGGAGGAGGAGGAGGATGAGGAGAGGGAAGAGGCAGCAGGGGAAGACTGGAAAGCAGGGGTTCTGCTGTCTTGTGACCTGATAATGGGTGGATCTGGCGAGGACGCTTGTAGAGAGGATAAAGGATTAGCAGCAGGAGTGGGGCGGGATGGAGAGAGCAAATGGGCTTCATCAGTTTGATCTTGTTCTTGTTCATGTTCAGAAGCAAGCGACCTTGTGAGAAGTGCAGATCCAGGAGTTGAAGGGACATTGGAAGCTGGGAGAGAACCGGAAGGTACAGAAAGAGGGGATGGTGGTGTGGGAATAGGAGAAGGAGGATAGGCAGGAGAGGAGGAAGATAAGGCGGTAGCAGTAGAAGCAGTAGCTTGAACAGCAGCGGCAGAAGCAGAAGCAGGAGTGGCACGAATGGCAGGAGTGGCAGGGATGCTGGGAGAACCAGTGCAGGCCTCCTTGACACGATGCAAAGTGCCACTACAATTCTCATCGTTGCTGCCGCTGGTTCTGCTTCTGCCACTGCCGCTGCCGTTGCCGCCGCTGCTGCCACTGCTGCTGCTGGCACCATTGTTCCGTGCAACCTTGTGCTTCGGTTGCAGCTGAACCAATCTGGTCAAGAGCGAGTCAAGAAAGGAATCCTTTCCTTCCACTGTGCATCTCCCAGCTCCCTTACCCTCTTCCTCCCTGCCCTCCTCCTTCCCTGCTCCCTTCCCCTTCTCCTTCGGAGCAAGAGGAGGAGCGGAAAGAAGCGGTATAGGAAGGCCGGTAGGCGAGCAAATGAGCTTGTGAGGAAGAGGAGGAGAGGGAAGAGGTACAGGAGGGCCGGTAGGCGAGCAAATGAGCTTGTGAGGAAGAGGAGGAGAGGGAAGAGGTATAGGAGGGCCGGTCTGTGAGCAGATGAGCTTGTGGTCCACTTTACCAGCGTCGATGAACCGCAGCATGGCATGCACCTGCCATGTGCCCGTGTGGCCGTATGGCAGGGAGGGCCCCAGCACCACTGCATCCAGCGGATCTCCTGCACGAGGATTTGGAAGGGAAGAAGCGGAGGGGTAAAACATGGGGAGAGAGAATGGGGAAAGGTAGGGGTGGTACCTGTCCTGTCACCCCTTGCGCCGTCGATGAACCGCAGCATGGCGTGCACCTGCCATGTGCCCGTGTGGGCGTATGGCAGGGCGGGGCCCAACACCACTGCGTCCAGCGGGTCGCCTGGAGAGGAGATGGGGAGGGGAGATGGGGAGGGGAGATGGGGAGGGGAGATGGGGAGGGGAGATGGGGAGGGGAGATGGGGAGAGGAGATGGGGAGGGAGATGGGGAGGGGAGATGGGGAGGGGAGATGGGGAGGGGAGATGGGGAGGGGAGATGGGGAGGGGAGATGGGGAGGGAGATGGGGAGGGAGATGGGGAGGGAGATGGGGAGGGAGATGGGGAGGGGAGATGGGGAGAGGAGATGGGGAGGGGAGATGGGGAGAGGAGATGGGGAGGGGAGATGGGGAGGGGAGATGGGGAGAGGAGATGGGGAGGGAGATGGGGAGGGGAGATGGGGAGGGGAGATGGGGAGGGGAGATGGGGAGGGGAGATGGGGAGGGGAGATGGGGAGGGAGATGGGGAGGGAGATGGGGAGGGAGATGGGGAGGGAGATGGGGAGGGAGATGGGGAGGGAGATGGGGAGGGAGATGGGGAGGGAGATGGGGAGGGAGATGGGGAGGGGAGATGGGGAGGGGAGATGGGGAGGGGAGATGGGGAGGGGAGATGGGGAGGGGAGATGGGGAGGGGAGATGGGGAGGGGAGATGGGGAGGGGAGATGGGGAGGGGAGGTGGGGAGGGGAGGTGGGGAGGGGAGGTGGGGAGGGGGGGTGGGGAGGGGAGATGAGGAGGGGAGATGAGGAGGGGAGGTGGGGAGGGGAGATGGGGAGGGGAGGTGAGGAGAGAGGATCGGCAAGATGGGGTGGCATGCGCCTGCCATGTGCCTGTGTGGCCGTATGGCAGGGGGGGTCCCAACACCACTGCATCCAGAGGGTCACATGGACAAGGGGTGGGGAGGGGAGTGAGTGGGGAAGCAACCAGGGCGGGGCAACACGCTTACCGCACCGTACCATACAGTACCACACCGCAGAGTCCAGGGAGAGGATGGAGGGCACGGTGCTGTCGGGGTGCAACATGCACGCAACAGACAGACCGTACATCACCGCACCGCACTGCACCGTGCCACACTGTACCGTACTATACTGGTACTCCACCGCACCATACCGTCCAGGGCGAGGATGGAGGGCACAGTGGCATAATTGAAGGGGCAGGGCACACAGCCACCGTAGTCAACGGAGCAGCCAGGGGGCAACATACAGGAACAGACAGACCTGTACCACACCGTACTACACCGTACCGCACTGTACCCCGTCGTACCGTCCAGGGCGAGGATGGAGGGCACGGAGCCGTAATTGAAGGGGCAGGGCACACAGCCGATGTAGTCAATGGCTCCGTCTGGGTGGCGCTTGACGAAGCTGCCCTTGGGTACCTCCACCACCACCTGCACGAAGCGCGGTACGAAGATCTGGGGAGGTGTGGGGGGAAAGAAGTGGACGGCAGGAGGAGAAGGTGCATTGTGGAGGGCACAAGAGGTTGACGAAGCTGCTGCCCTTGGGTACCTCCACCACCACCTGCACGAAGCGCGGCACGAAGATCTGGGGAGGGGAGAGGAGGGTGAAGAGGAGGAGGGGAGACGGTGGGAATCAGAGGGGGTCGTGAGTGGAGATGAGGCGCTTGACGAAGCTGCCCTTGGGTACCTCCACCACCACCTGCACGAAGCGAGGTACAAAGATCTGGGAGGGGAGGGGAAGAGAGGGGGAAGGAGGGGAAAACAAGCGAGGCATGAGCCGCACGAGGTTGACGAAGCTGCTGCCCTTGGGTACCTCTTCCACCACCTGCACGAAGCGAGGTACAAGACCTGAGGAAGGGAGGAGGAGGAGCAGGAGGAGAAGAGGGGAGCAGGAGAGGAGTGGAAATGAGAAGCCCACAGTGTTGCCTCTGCCACCACCTGTACGAAGCGCGGTATGAAGATAAGGAACGCGGGGAACGAAGCAAGGGGAAGAAGGAGGAAAGGGGAGACATGGGGAAAGGAAGGGGAGCGGAGGGGAGGTCCTGGGAGGGAGGGAAAACGGAAGGGTGTTCTGAAAAGGCAGGCGAAAAGCAGGCGAAACGGAACGACCTGTGGCGTGGCGAGGCGGTGCGTTAGCGGAGCAACGAATAATTGATAGCATGGATAGCATGGATACTACTAGAAAACACCCGTCCTTTCTCTCCGGAAATAATTGACGGATTAGAAGCGGCAGAGCTCGTGAGAGGGAAGCAGCTCACATGAACGATCTGCCGTTGCTTGCGGGGAGACGACGACGACGGCGAGTGATTGGCGGAATCGAAGGACCAATCAGAAGGCCAACCCGGGGACTTCGGGCTTTGTGACGTCACGTCCAACGATTTCTCGCCTGTTTTCTCTCTAGCTTTACTGTTAGATTTCTCCATTGATATCCCCTGCCTCGCTAGATTGGTCGCGGCCGACACGGAGGCGGCCGTTGCGACCGCAGTCGCCTGCGGAACCGATAAATTTGACCCCATAACCGGCTGGCCGTCAGATATTCAGGCACCTCGCAACCGGCTTGCCGTCAGATATTCAGGCACCTCGCAACTGGCTTGCCGTCAGGTATTCTGGCTGCTAAAACTGGAGGAACGATGCCTGATTCCAGTATTAGACCGTTTGCTCTGGACGCCTGAGCTCGGCCTAGCGAAATAAACGCTTCACGAAGCAAGGCTCGGTCGGTGAGCGGAGTGGTGCTGCGAGAAATTGTTTGTAGTGTTTTGGCGACAGTCGCAACAGTCGCCGCCAAGTGCGGAGAGAATTGCTCCAAACCCTTGTTTGGTGATTCGGCATTGCACACGTGGCATCGAATTGCTCGCGTGGTCCTGAAATTGCTTGATAATTGCTCGAATGGGCTTGCCAGAGGATTCCCGCAGCTTTTTTTTATCAGGTACATCACCCTACAAGGGTATATATTTCCAAAATGTTTGCGTCGCACGAGTCTTATTCCGCGTATGAGAAATAATAAAAACCCTAGGGACCTGGACGCATTTTTAGGAGGGATCAACCCTAAACACGGGAAAGAGCAATGTTTTTAGGGTTGATGCCTCCCCGAGTCGCATCCTTCTCCGATTGGGTTTTAGTTTTTTTTTGGGAGAGTTTTGCTCAATTCCGCGGAATCGAGGTTCGTTTTATTATCGCCACGTGGCATGCCTTCGATCGCGAGAACTGCGATCTGTTTTATTTTTCTCACAAAGTTCAGGACAAATTTAGTTAAGTTCAGTACGGCGCTGCCCGCAGGCAAAACTAAAACCCATTCTGGCCTGGCATGCGTTAGGGAGGCATCAACCCTAAACACCTTGCCTCTATGTGTTTAGGGTTGATGCATCCCTAAGGACGTGGGCCCAATCGACTTTGATCGGCTCTGATCGGATCGGGTTGGATCGGAACGAATTGCTTCTGATCGTTTTCCCCGCGCCGCCCGATCAGAGATGATTTTCCTCGAATGTTTCGCGCTCTTGCATGAAAACTCTCGGCCCATTACCTGGTAGTTGCAGGCCAACTTTGGCGAGACTGACGAATCTCAGTATCGTGGTAATGTCGCCATGGCATGCATTTCTCGCCGATCTGGGTGTATTCGCAAGGATTTTTGAGACCCCATGGCGAGGCGTGTTACATTTCGTGTACATCGCCCAGGTGCCCGATCACATGCAATCAAGTGATTGGGTCTGATTGTGTCTGATCGGGTCTGATCGGGCTGTTTGAGGCGGTTGATCGAGTTGGAGCGATCAGCTGATCGCGCCCCCGATTGCCTAAAATCTGCTTCCCGCCTTCCTCGAAATTTTTGATCGCCTCTGATCGCGCCGATCAAAGTCGATTGGGCCCACGTCCTAACGCATGCCTTTCCCGTAGGGGTTTTATTTTTGCCCGCGGGCAAGGCAGTACATGTGATCCACTAGATTTCACTTAAAAATTGTGGGAACAATAAAACAACTCGCGGTTCCCACGATCAAAGGCATGCCACGTGGCGAAAATAAAACAAACCGCGGTTCCACGAAAATGAGCAAAACTCTCTTTTTTGGGTCATCTGTACGGATATATATGTAAATGCGCGGTCATATAGAGCCATCTCGCGACCAATCACGCGCGGACATATGGGTGCGCGATCATATATCGTTTCGCTCGGGCACACCCTATATGACCGAGCGTTTTTTGCGAGGCTCAATGATATGACCGGGCATTTACGTCGCTTACAATTATGTGACCGCTCAATAATTTTAACATTGGGGGATAAATACCCTAATTGGGTATTGTGCCTGGGAAAAAAAAGTCAGTGGGAATCCCCTGGCAAAACCACTCGAGCAATTATCGTGCAATTTTAGGACCACGCGAGCAATTCGAGGCCACGTGTGCAATGCCGAATCACCAAACAAGGGTTTGGAGCAAGTCTCTCATGGGGACGGGGTTCGGGGAAGAGGGTTCAAGCTTGTACGCTTTTGAGAAAATGGATAAGGTCGATCTGACAAAATACACTTGCAACCGCAAAGAGAATAAAAAATAGATATTTACGGTCGTAGACTTTGCTGGAAAAGGACACTTTCCCTTATCTTGGAGGTCGTGCATTCATGCTTCGTGGCACATGACGGTTGGAGACAGTAAACATGTTTACCATGAATTTAGAAAACTTGGCACAGGCGGAACGAGTCAACACATACTTGTGTTTACTCAAACAAGGCCAAACAGAGAAAGAATGGACATGACGAGAGAGTACAAAAGCACACTGGCTGGAAGCGTGTAACATCCTAGTAGGTTCAAATTCACTTACTAGCCTCGGAAATAGGTGAGCTTCATCGGATGCGTAAGTGAATGGCTATCTTCGCTGGTTGGCGGTAAAGCCGGCGGTTATGCAACACCCTTCTACGTGCCACGTAGAAAAGAGAGAAAGAAAAGAGCCAGGGTTTCGTCAGGGTTTCATTGAAAGAAAAGGGCCAGGGTTTCAGTGAAAGAAAAGAGACTAGTGAAGGGCTTCGTCATGACGCATATAAGCACAGCCCCCGCTATAAGCGCAACCTCCACAAGCATCACCACGCCGACGGCGATACCACGCGAGCTCTCCGGGGTCGCGGACACGATCAGCGACGCGACGGACGCGACGATGATCGCGGCGATGATCAGCACAATGGAGACGATCAACCAATTCGTGCGACGCGTGTTGCTCTAAATCTTCTCGGCTTTCTCGAGGTCTCTGTTCCCGTCCAGGACATCAGATACCGAATCCTCCACCTGAACCTTGATTTTATTCAGATACTCTCCCTGCTCCTCCACCATAATCGCCATATCCATAAACATTTCCTGCAGCTCCACCATTTCCTTCGTAACCTGTAACACGGCGTCCATCCTTTCGTCAATGTCCACGACGGCGTCTCGCAGCTGGTCTTCGGTAATCTTCGCATCGCGGCCTTGCATTTGCACTGCCTTCTTCAGCACATCCTCGCTCTGCCCGTGCTCAATAATTTCATCGAGCATCTCGTCAGTCGCCTGTTTCCCCGTCACCACGAACAAATGCCGCTTTAATTTCTTCCGGCTCTCGTTCTTAATCTCGCCTTCGACCACCAACACCAGCTGGTGCAGACCTCGCAGGCGCTCTGCCAATCCAACTGTAATATTCGTCCGGTGTCGATCCTCCGCGGTTCCCGGGCCGCTTCTGGGTCGCATGCGATTCGCCTCGTTGTTCCGCTTCAGCTCCTCCAGCATCTCCTTGATCCTTCTCGTGCGATTCTTTGCCTGCGTGGATGACCTCGCCGCGGCTTTCCGGAGCTCCTCGAGTTTCTCCGCGCGCGCCTGCTGTGACATCAGGTTGTTCGCATTCTGCACCTCTCTGACGTCATTGTTCGCCTTCTTTATCTCTTCCTCGATCGCCGCCACCTCCGCGTTGAACGCCGTGAAATCCAAACCTTCCGGCGCGGTAGTTGATGCTCGTGCTCCTCTAGAAGCCCCTGGGTTGGATGGAGGCGCGAAGCTTCGAGACACGTCCCATGACTGGGTCCACAGATTGTTCATGGCGGCGGCTCGATGGTCGGCTCGGTGATTGGACGGCTAGCTCGTTGGCTGCTCGGATTTGACTAGGTTGGAGCAACCGTTCTGTGCAAGGGGTTGCGATTATGTGAACTATCTGGCTACTTAGCTAGTACTCTGTCGGCGCCGATTGCGCGCCTCCTGCGCGACAGGCGTTTACAGGATATTTCCTCAGCGATTTTAGATTGATCTCTCGACTCTCTTTTCGTAGCTATTCAATCGAAATGGAAATGAATGAGGAGTGAGGAGAGGGAGGGAGGACCGTGTGCCAATCGTCAAATAAATCTCCACTCGCTGATCGTGTTCGTTGTTTGTGTCGAACGCGAAGCTGGTCCGATGAGAAATAGCGGTGGGATGGGAGGGAGGGAGCAGGAGAGTGTAGATTACAATACCTTGTGCCACACGGCACGCTTCAACACCAAGAGTTTTGCGTGCTTGCGCTGCACACCGCCGTCGCCCATCCGTTCGGAGTTTTGCACGACCTGGAACGAACTCGACGAGACGATGTTGGGTGAAGGATGAGGAGTCCAGCAGACCACAATTTTTTGCCCTGCTACTGCTGTAGCGGGTTGTGTGGCATGTCGAAGTCAATCGCCCGTGGATGCCTGTCCTCAGGGCGCGTCCCCTCCCTCGATCGATCCTGCCCTCGATCGATCGAGGGACAGGTACAGTGTCGCAATTGACAGGGTAACCAGATTTCGAAAAGGCTTGCGAGTGTACAGTAATTGGCGCTCAACGATCTTGTCACCTCCGCTGATGACGATCGATGTGCCTTCCTGGCCACACCGATCTCGGCTTTCGTAGGATCGAGAGTTTTTCCCCCTAAAAATTTCGATCCTGTCACCCAGGGCTCGCGATCGCCACCGGAGTGTCACCTCCTACCAATCCCGCCCCAATCCTGCGATCGGTGTGCCCGATCGGTTTTCCACAGCGATCTCGCGATCGATCGAGGGAGGGGACGCGCCCTCAGTTTGTCAACCACTTCCTGAGCTGTTACTATATAATGGATTTGCCCCGGGTGGGTTAAAAAAAAAAAAAAAAACAGGGAAGTTCAGTTAACTCCCGGTCCGGGTGGGTTCCCTGTATGTAGCATATCCCATGGCACGTTGAACTCATGATAGCAAGACGGCCATAGGGATGTCTATGTGGTCATGTCATGTAATCTGCTTTGCTGAAGCAAACTGTTGCGAGTGTAGCTCTGCTGCTTACGCAGCTGCTGCAACAGGGGAATTCTCTGTGGAGCAACCGATAATGCGTTCCGCTAGCAACAAGTCGTCGGGAGTTGTAACCTGGGACAGGAACAAGATTAACAGACAACTGCTGAACAAGACAATATGCAATAACACCAGCAACCAACCGAGCATCAAACAAGGAGTTACAAACGACAGCAACAACAACAAATTGTTATAGGGAGACGGTGAACGGGCGGAGTGGAAAAAGGGGAAGCGGGGAGGAGGGAGAGTGCGACGCTACCCGGAAACGGCAAGAAAGTCGAAGGGAGTGAGGAAAGAGGGGTAGTGGGGAGGGGCGGGAAGGGGGTATGCGCTCATGTTGTACCTTAATGTTGGTGTATGCGCCCTCAGTGATCTTGACAGGCTGCTTGAGATACTCCACAATAGACACGTCATCTGTCACCTCCAGGCCCTCCCTGTAGGGTGCGCCCCCGTCAGGGGCCACGGAAACAGGAGGGACGGGCTGATTAGACCACTCACTCACTCACTCACTCACTCGCTCACTCACATCTTCACAGCTAGACACTTCATCTGTCAGGCACAGACCATCCCTGTAGAGTGCACCGTGAGGGGCCGCGGGATAGAGAGAGAGGGAGGAACGGGCTGACTGAACCACCCGCTCACTCAAAAAGGTAGAGACAGAGGGATGGTTGGGCTGTTGCACTTCCTGCATGTGTTGCATGTGTTGGCAGCATGTGTTTCGCAGCATGTGTTGGCAGCATGTGTTTCGCAGCATGTGTTTCCCAGCATGTGTTTCGCAGCATGTGTTTCGCAGCATGTGTTTCGCAGCATGTGTTTCACAGCATGTGTTTCGCAGCATGTGTTTCACAGCATGTGTTTCGCAGCATGTGTTTTGCAGCATGTGTTCGCAACATGGGTTCAGCGACCACTCATGTTGCTGCCTCAGCTGCAGGTGCATCACCTTTTGCCCTTCCTGCATCGGTCCCAATTCGCGCTGCAACAACCCCTCCCATTGCTGCACCAATGAGCAGCCCACGCACCTGTTGACGAGCTCAAAGCCATCTCACAGCAGCTGCGAACGCATCACCTGCGACTTTTGAAAAGACTCAAAAGTGAAGCCCACCCAGTGCTGTCCCTGCCGCCACCCCCCTGTCGCACGCACCTGTTGACGAGCTCGAAGCCATCGCGCAGCAGCTGTGGGCACATGAATCACCTACGGCTTTTGAGAAATCTAAAAAGTGGAACCATGTCGTGCTGTCCCTGCCGCCACCCCCCTGTCGCACGCACCTGTTGACGAGCTCGAAGCCATCGCGCAGCAGCTGTGGGCGCATCACCTGCGGCGTCTGCATCTCCCACAGCAGACGCCTGTCAAGCGTGCGGTGCACAAAGCCCTTCCCGTCCGACTGTGGTGTGGGGGGGGCCGGTTGTGAGAGCGGGAAGGAAGGAACCGAGAGGGGAGTGGGGTTGTGAATGCTGTGCCGCCCAACCTTGCAGCATCTCCCACAGCCGCCGCCAGTCCAGGGTGCGCTGCACAAAGCCCTTGCCGTCCGACTGTGGGAGGGGGAAAGAGAAGGACAAAGAGCGGGCAAGAGAGAGCTGGTGGGTGTTGTTCTGTGCTCCCTTTTGGCCTGACCGCATCTCCCACAGCAACCGCCTGTCCAGCGTGCGCTGCACAAAGCCCTTGCCGTCCGACTGTGGGGAGGGGGAAAGAGAAGGACAAAGAGCGGGCAAGAGAGAGCTGGTGGGTGTTGTTCTGTGCTCCCTTTTGGCCTGACCGCATCTCCCACAGCAACCGCCTGTCCAGCGTGCGCTGCACAAAGCCCTTGCCGTCTGACTGTGGGGAGGGGGGGAAGGGAAGGACAAAGAGCGGGCAAGAGAGAGCTGGTGGGTGTTGTTCTGTGCTCCCTTTTGGCCTGACTGCATCCCATGCCCACAGCAGCTGCCGGTCTAGCGTGCGCTGCACAAAGCCCTTTCCATCCGACTGTGAGGGCGGGCAGAACGGGGGAAGAGGGGTGGGGAATGGGAGGGAGACACTAAGTGCGTTGGGTTGGTTGGCCCCTCCCACTGAAAGTTGACGCATCCCTCAGGGAAGAAGCAGCAGCAGAAGCCATCAGTTTCGCATGCGTGCGCTGCACACAGCCTTTGCCGACCAACTCGACTGCCAGCATGTTGCAGTGAGCATGTAGCGATGGCGTTGGGAAGTGAATGCCAGTAATGTGGAAGATGCCTTCTGAAAATAGTCGCCATACCTTGTTTATGGGTGGATATGTTTTTTTATATACCTCTTTGATTGTAGCCTTGGATGGCACAGCCAGCACAGCAGCCCCGTACGTCATGGCATCAGAAAAGACCTGCAGAGAGGAGATGATGAGAGGTTAAAGGAAGGGGGACAGTTGCGGGGTTCAGGTAAGGAGAAGGAGCGGGGGGCGTGGGGGGGGTTGTGTGGGAAGGAGAGGGAGGGAGGAAAGGGGGGTGGGAAGGGGTCGGGATGGAGACGGAGGAGGGAAGGCAACTAAGGTAAGAAACAGAGGTGGACCACGTCACAAGGAGTCAAGAGGAGACAATAGTAGTGAACAGCGACAACAGGAGTCAACATGGACCAACAGGGACTAACAGGAGTAGTCAACAGGTGTCAACAGGTGTCAACAGGTGTCAACAGGTGTCAACAGGTGTCAACGCTGACCTGGAGGGTGTCCTTGGGCGTGACGAGGGGGCGAGCAGAATCGTGCACGGCAACAAGCGCGGAATCAGCGCTCATCTGCTGCAGCCCGTTGAACACCGAGTCCTGCCGCTCCTTGCCGGGGAGAGCGAACCTCAGAGGGATGGTGATGCGCGCAGACGCCTCTGATGGTGGGAGAGAGGGAAGGAGAACAGGGTAGAGGAGAGGGGAAGAGGAGAGGGGGGGAGGAAAGGGGGGGAGGGATTCTGCCTGTGAATCTGTTTTTTGTGGGTGTTGTCAGCTTGGGCAATGCGAGCAGGAGGGTTGTGAGGGAGGGCGAGGAGAGGAGAGAGGGGCGCTGATCTGCTGCAGCCCGTTGAACACCGAGTCCTGCCGCTCCTTGCCGGGGAGGGCGAACCTTAGAGGAATGGTGATTTTCTCAGAGGCCTCTGATGGTGGGGAGAGAGGAGAGAGCGGGAGGGATTGGGGTTGAGGAAAAGGGACAGAAGGGAGTGAGACCGGCAACAACCAACATCTCCTCCTCTCACGTGTGTGTGGGAACATCCCGTGTAGCAGCTCTCCCTCTCCAAATAATTGGAGGAGAGCGATGGTAGTACCTTGGAAGAGGTCGCGGCAGCTTGGGTCTGCGCTGCGACCACCACCATCTCCTTCCACATGTGGATGCGAGCATGCCATGTGGCTAGCAGGAGGGTGTGCAGCGTGCCATGCAAGTGCGTGGAAGGACGAGCGGTCGTGTGGTGGTACCTTGGAAGAGGTCGTGGTAGCTGGGGTCTGCGACGACCACTATCTCCTTCACCTCAGGCATGGCTGCGAATGTGAAGAAGCTGATGTGGATGGGGGAGGGGAGAGGGGTGGGAGCATGGGGAGGGGTGGGAGGAGAGGGCGGGGTGTGGGAAGAGGTCGTGGTAGCTGGGGTCTGCAACGACCACTATCTCCTTCACCTCAGGCATGGCTGAGAACGTGAAGGGGAGGTGGAGGGAGATGGGGGGAGGTGTCGGGAGATAGGGGGAGGTGGAGGGGGGAGTGAGAAGAGGGAGGGGTGTGAGTAGAGGGAGAGGGGGGGTGGGTTGTGAGAAGAGGGAGAGAAAAGGGTGTGAGAAGAGGTGGGGGGGTGTGAACGAGCAGAGGGAGGGGTGTGAGGAAAGATGGGAGAAGGCAATTAGCAGAAGAATCGAGAAGCAGGGAGAAAAAGGGATTTTTTTTCTCAGTGATAAAAATAGCCAATGCCCATGCCCATGCCCATGCCCATGCCCATGCCCATGCCCACGCCCATACCCATGCCCATGCCCATGCCCACGCTCATTTGCCCATGCCCATGCCCATACCCACGCTCATTTGCCCATGCCCAGGCCCATGCCCACGCCCATCCCCATTCCCAGATTCTACCTCTAACCCAGACCTGACTCCATCATTCCCCAACCCTCCCATTCCGCCAAGCCATCCGCCCTTACCTGTAGAGAGCAATGGGCTGGTTGCACACAGGCAGGTACTGCTTCGGCATATTGGCCTGGTGGGTGAAGGCGAGAGTGCAGTGCAGGCGCGCAGGCAGGGAGGGAGAGCGTGCGGGAGGGAGAAGAACGAGAGGAGGAGGAGGAGGAGGAGGAGGAGGAGGAGGAGGAGGAGGAGGAGGAGGAGGAGGAGGAGGAGGAGGAGGAGGAGGAGGAGGAGGAGGAGGAGGAGGAGGAGGAGGAGGAGGAGGAGGAGGAGGAAAGCGATGACAATTAATAACCAAACACGAGTGAGAACAAGGTTTGCAGGGAGGGAGTAGGCTGATCTGGAGTGGTGGTCAGTGAGTGAGGAGTTTGAAGAAGTGGTTTGAGACGTCTCAAAACAGTTCCACACTCTCCGCCCCCTCCCTCACAGTGGTTTGAGACGTCTCAAAACACACTCGTCGCTCACCCAACGTGTTTGAGACGTCTCAAAACACTTCTTCAAACACGTGGTCAGTGAGTGAGGAAGGGAAGAGACAGATAGCTAGAGAGGGAGAGGGGTACTATTATAGTTCGCGAGGCTCATCCTGAAAAGAGGATCACGACAGGATCCAGTTCTACAGTAAGCTTCAGGAGAGCATGTGAGGAAAGGAAACAACTTTAGCTGATTGTGAAAACCAATTCAGATGAATGCAAAGGCAGGTTCAGGTGGGTGTGAGAGCAGGCTCAGATGAGCGTGAGAGCAGGCTCAGGTGAGCGTGTGAGTAATATGAAGCTTCAGACGAGAGAGATACGAGTGGAGGTAGGTAGGTACATACCCCCATGCGCTTGCCCACTCCGCCTGCCAGCAGCACCACAGACACACTGCGAGGGGGCACCACCTGGTGGAGAGCGGGGGGAAGAGAAAAAGAGGAAAGAGCAGAGGCAGGATAGGGGTGGGACCGTGAGAGCGAGGAGAGATGGTTAACGGAGGGAGAGGGAGGTAGGGATACGTGTGAGCAAGCGGTTTCTGTGGAGCCTCAAACTCGGAGGTGATCTTTGAGTGGTCTCTGCGAAACCTCACAGACACAATGTGAGGAGTCTTTACTCTTCACCGTTGGTCGCTTCAGCACTGGCCCACACAGCCGCCAATCGCCTTGCATTCAGACGCACCGAAACTGGAAGTCAAAGACGCAATGTAAGAACACTTCTCGGGATTACCTCGCCTGCACCGTTGGTCGCTTCAGCACTGGCCCGCACGGCCACGGAACGCCTTGCAGAAGCCGAGCGCGCACCTGTCGCTGTCACGTGTCCATTCAGCGATTGCCTCCCTACGCTGCTGGCGCTGCTGCTGCTGCTGCTGCTGCCTGTGGGAGGGTTTAGGGAACAGAGTATGATGCATAAAGTAAATGCATTGTGGATAGAGTGGTAATTCGGTAATTGGGTAAACTCGGGAAGTGCCTTGTCACTAAGCGACACTGCTGCTCGTGCCGGTCGAGGGCGGTCGAGAACGGTTGAGAGCTTGGAGACGGAGTGTGATGGATCAACGTAAGTGTTTCAATGAATAAGGTGGTAAAGGAAGCTACGGTATGGGACGATGGGGTGGGTGTGCGAATTGGTTTACCACGAAATGGTATGGAGTTTACGGAACGTGGTGGAAGTGATGGTAATGCAGGGCAATGCAGGGGTGTATATGGCATTGCATGAGCATGGTATTGCATGGCAATGCAGCGGATGTCACAAGAATGCAGAGGTAGAGTGAAAGTGTATCAAGCTAGTTTTCGTCGATAGTGAACGAATATATTCTGGCTTAGTATCAATGCCGTAGGAATTAAACTGTAAGCGTCAAACGAAGGCAGGACTCGCCGGCTACCTAACACCGAGGATACAGGACTAAGCTGCATTGCAGGTGAATCATTTCCGGGCGTCCTCTAATCGCGTCCTCTCATCTATACCTCCGCTAAGAAAGGTCCGAGGGAAAGCCACTGAGGTCGCGGGTTTGCAGCTTGTGCGAGGACGCGGCACCGCAACGACCGATGTCGCAGCAGCAACGGCACACGCATCTCTGATCACTGTCGCGGCCATGGCGTAATGCTCGGTGAACAGATAAGGGACTAAGTGGGAAGGAGTCACCACGACACGGTGGAGAGGCAGGGAGCGATAGCTGCTCAAGTTTTGGATAGCTTTGGGAATACCGTGGAAAAATGGTTTGGGAAGGTCATTTCAGGCGCGTTACACCGCGGATTCGTTTTCAGTAGGTTCGTCTTTGAGAGCTCGCGAGGTGAACTCGAAACTCGGCAATCGTCCTACCGAAACGAACCGCGCTGTTACATCATGGCAGGGTGTATGTCAATCTGCGGGAACTGAAATCCGGTGTGGGTCACTGCTCGGGATGACATTATCTTGAATAAAAAATGCACTTTGGAGTGGATCGCGGCTGTCGAAGATGTTTCGCAACGACCAACGAAAGCATGGTGATCGCCTCAGCTTCTGAGACTCGTGCAATTCGAATAGCTGACTGCCATGTAAACGGGCACCTTTTCCAAGTTTAGAGCAGCCTCGTTTCAAATAAGGGAAACACAGTCCCACTTGAACAAAAACAACTTCAGCTAAATTTCACCTAAAGTTGCAAAGATTTCACACTGGACCAATTACAGCCCTTCTGCCGGCGCTCTAAAGACGCCAACTCCGTACGACTTTGTTTTGCCTCGTCAGGTGCTTGACCAATGCGCACCTGAGAAGGTCATGCATTGACTTCTACATCCCAAATAGTATCTCGGCCCTTGTAATTCCAACCAGATCTCCTCGCGAATCTTTTCTTCTTTCTTTGTTTTCCTTTTTTCCGCTGCGCCTAGCTTTCGCGTCACGTGGCGCCGAAGAAAGCGTTAACTTGACGGTTGTCAACACTGGGAGGCGCAGCGGACGGTCGCATTTCCATCTCCGCGTTTCATTCGCCAACCCAACTCCATCCATCTCCGCGTTTCTGTCACCGCAGTGAGATCCAGGCGAAGCAGTGAATGAGTAGTAGCAGTGGCGGGAATGAGCAGGAGCAAGCTGTACTAACGTGAAAGAACTTTGTCTTGGGAGGTGCGCAGTATTCGCCGGCGGATTCTAGAGAGATGGATCATCCGCAAAACGATAAGCGCCGTCTGGTTGCCTCATCAGTCGTCGTTTTGCTAACCCTAAGCCTGCATGTAAGCTGCTGTCTCTCTCCTTCCCCGACTTCACCCACCCATCCCACCTTACCTTTCATCCACCGTTATTCTCCTGCATTTTATTCTCTCCCCCCTTCCCCCTCCGCTCCACCCCCTCCTCCTCGCCCGCCCCTTTCTTCCCCCTTTTTGAGCCACCTTTCCCTTCCATCCCCCTCCTTTCTCTCCGTTCCCCGCCCTTCCCCTCCTCCTTATCTGTTTTTTTCCTTCATGCGGTTCCAGTGTCGCCGATATCTCTTCATTCCGCGATGTTCCTGTCGCCTTGTTCCTTTCTTTCCAATGTCTCGCCTTCCGTTTGCAATTTGTGTGCTCGTCTAATCAGCCCCCTTTCTGCATCCCTAGTAAATATTCTGATTACGTTCTTTTCTCTTATAAAGATCAAAGATCCAATCTCCTTTATCCTGGTGATGCACACATGCAGGTGTGCCACGTCACTGCTGACTGGACTGAGGACAATGTGCTGGGACACGTGGCACAGTTCGAGGAGCAGATGGAGATGGAGATGATGAATCCTGCAGCGATAGCAGCAGAAGCTGCCGCGTCAGCTGCCACGTCAGGTGTCTCGGCAGCAGCAGACAAAGCAGCAACGGGCAAATTAGTCTGCAACAGACAAAGCAACGGCAGATAAAGCAGCAGCAACACCAAAAGACAAAGCAGCAGCAGCAGCTGCGGCAGCAGTACAGGCAACACTACCGCCACCATCACCACCACCACCCCCCCCAGCAGCATCAATCCTCCCTCCTTCCGACAATGAGCATCCAAGCATCCGCGGACTGGCCAACGGCGCACAAGTCCCCCTCTGGATCCCTGAAATCATCTTCAGCAACTTAGAACTCCTAGACCTGCGCTACCATCAGGGGCTACGCTGCAACACCTCCGCTGCCACCTGCCCTGCGTTCTCCGCCTGCGCGTCCCACCGTCGCCAGGCGACGCCGATTTCCGCCTGCGCGCCTGACCCGCCGCTGGTTGATAAGGAGCATGTTGTGTCCACTCCTCCGCTTAACCATGCCTCTGATGGTGCTGCAAGCAGCGATGGCTCTTCTGCAGGCAATGGCGGTGCTAAGGCTGCGTCTGGCGTGCCGCCTTACCCGTACAATCTCGCTGCGGTGCAGACACAGGCGTCGTTCGATGAGGCCGTGGCAGAACCCTTTGCTGCTCAGGTGAGGAGTCAGGTTGTGAGGCGGCTTAGGATTAGACTCGTCTGCTGCTGCTGCGGCGGCGGCGGCGGCGGCGGCGGTTTCTGCTGTGGCTGCGTCCGCCGTGCCTCCTTACCCGTACATCATTGTCGCTGCGGTGCAGGCACAAGCGTCGTTCGATGAGGCTGTGGCAGAACCCTTTGCTGCGCAGGTGAGCAGAGGCCAAACAGAACCGCTGCTTCCAAAAGCGTGCTCAAATGCCCGTCACATGTTCAGGCGCCTCAAAAACGGGCATTTGAGGCGCCTCACAAACGGGCATTTGAGGCGCCTCACAAACGGGCATTTGGGGTGTCTCAGAAACGGGCGCCTCAGAAGCAGGCCTTTCTGCTGCGCTGGTGAGGTTGGCTGCAGGGTTCTTGGCGGAGGTTGTAAAGGGTTGAGTCCAATCGAGCCCCAGTTAGAGGCCATGGTTCAATACGTGGCAGCAATTCCTTTGTTTGAGACACCTAGGTAGGTGATTGTGTTTGCGTAGAAAAGACGCTTGTGAGAAATTGTGATGGCTGGCTGTAGGGTTCTTGGCGGAAGGTTGTAAAGGGTTGAGGGTTTTGCTTCCAGCAGGCGCCATTTCTTGAGATCCTCAGGGAGGGTTTTACTCCCACGGCTTTTTGCTGCTCAGGTGACGAGGTGGGTGCTTCGTTAGGAGGCTGGTGGGAGGTTGAGAGGTATTGAGGTTGAGAGGTATGGAGGTTGAGAGGTATTGAGGTTGAGAGGTATTGAGGTTGAGAGGATACTCAAAAGGCGTCTAAATTCTAGACGCCTTTAGTCATAGGCCCCCTGTTTCCTTTGCTGGGCTTGGTTCAGACACGCCAGGTGGGTGACTCGTCTGACTCTGTGTGACTCCTTCAGTCATGCGCCACCCGCCCAGTGCCGTGCTCTCAAAGGAGCCGCTCGTGACTTGTCTTTGCTGCTCCTTTCAAAGACCATGTTTTCATCGTATAGTCTCCCTACCCCCCGTTGGGCCCATCCGCGCCCTGCCCCCATCCGCGCCCTGCCCCCATCCACTCCCGCCCACGGCAGGTGTTTCTTCTGGAGAACGTGTTTCTCAACGACAGGGGCGCTGTGTTCGATGCCATATACTACTACCGCCACGGGCTCTTTTTGAGTCAACGCCAACCTTATCCACTACTGATCCCCATCCCATCCACAACGGCCCACGGCAGGTGTTTCTCTTGGAGAACGTGTTTCTCAACGACAGGGGCGCTGTGTTCGACGCTACTTACTACTACCGCCACGGGCTCTTCTGCAGGTATGCAGTGGATGCACATGCGCATGTGCGTGTGTGCGTGTGTGCGTGTGGGGGGGGGAGGGAGGGGGGAGGGGGGGGGGTGCGTGTGCGTGTGTGCGTGTGTGTGGGGGGGGGGGGGGGGGGGAGGGGGGGGGTACGTGTGCGTGTGTGTGTGTGTGCATCTGTGTGTGTGGTGTCTGTGTGTGCGCGAGCGCGTGCGCGCTCTTGTGCGCGTGTGCGTGTGTGCGTTTGTGCTTGTGTTGCATTTGTGTCTTGACCGAGGTCACAATATAGCTCGTCTTCTGATGTAATCGAGCGGGATACGGTGCGATTTGGTGGGGTACGGTGCGATTTGGTGGGGTACGGTGGGATATGGTGGGGTACGGTGGCATACGGTGTGGTGGTTTGGGATGTGCTTGGGTTGGCTGTGATAGGGTGAACCTGGATGCCCTATGTACGGCCATTCTTATTTCACCACGAGTTGTAAAAATTGCACAGCAGAGCCTGTGTCAACACTATTCGTGTGACTTTTGAGAAGACCACAGCAGAGCCAGGCTCTCAAATGGCACAGCAGAGCCTGTGTCAACACCACCTACCCCCTCTGTTCAGAAATGGCACAGCAGAGCCTGTGGTCAAAGATGTTGACTGTGGTGGTGTCAACACCACCTACCCCCTCTGTTCAGAAATGGCACAGCAGAGCCTGTGGTCAAAGATGTTGACTGTGGTGGTGTCAACACCACCTACCCCCTCTGTTCAGAAATGGCACAGCAGAGCCTGTGGTCAAAGATGTTGACTGTGGTGGTGTCAACACCACCTACCCCCTCTGTTCAGAAATGGCACAGCAGAGCCTGTGGTCAAAGATGTTGACTGTGGTGGTGTCAACACCACCTACCCCCTCTGTTCAGAAATGGCACAGCAGAGCCTGTGGTCAAAGATGTTGACTGTGGTGGTGTCAACACCAACTACCCCCTTTTCTTCTACTGTTTTAGCCTATGTGATTGTTTTTAACACATCAGTTAAGGTGCTCTCATCAGTTAAGGTGCTTGCATCAGTTCCTTCCTCTCCCACCTCGCTCTCCTCCTCCTCCTCCTCCTCCTCCTCCTCCTCCTCCTCCTCCTCCTCCTCCTCCTCCTCCTCCTCCTCCTCCTCCTCCTCCTCCTCCTCCTCTCCAACCCCCCTCCTCCCCTCTCCTCCTCCCCCCTCAACCCCCCTGCTTCCATTTCCTTCCCACTCCCATCTCTCCCTCCTCTTTCTCCCCTTCTCCCTCCCTCCCCACTCCCTCAGGTCCTGTCCTCTCGACACAGGCATATACACAGGGGGCACCACCACAGTCAACATCTTTAGCCGCCGTGTCTCCCTTGCCTCGTCTCCCTCACCTCATCTCCCTTGCCTCGTCTCCCTCACCTCATCTCCCTTGCCTCGTCTCCCTCACCTCATCTCCCTTGCCTCGTCTCCCTCACCTCATCTCCCTTGCCTCGTCTCCCTCACCTCATCTCCCTTGCCTCGTCTCCCTCACCTCATCTCCCTGCCTCGTCTCCCTCACCTCATCTCCCTTGCCTCGTCTCCCTCACCTCATCTCCCTTGCCTCGTCTCCCTCACCTCATCTCCCTTGCCTCGTCTCCCTCACCTCGTCTCCCTTGCCTCGTCTCCCTTGCCTCGTCTCGCTCGCCTCGTCTCCCTCACCTCGTCTCCCTCGCCTCGTCTCCCTCACCTCGTCTCCCTCGCCTCGTCTCCCTCGCCTCGTCTCCCTCGCCTCGTCTCCCTCGCCTCGTCTCCCTCGCCTCGTCTCCCTCGCCTCGTCTCCCTCGCCTCGTCTCCCTTGCCTCGTCTCCCTCGCCTCGTCTCCCTTGCCTCGTCTCCCTCGCCTCGTCTCCCTCGCCTCGTCTCCCTCGCCTCGTCTCCCTCGCCTCGTCTCCCTTGCCTCGTCTCCCTCGCCTCGTCTCCCTTGCCTCGTCTCCCTCGCCTCGTCTCCCTTGCCTCGTCTCCCTCGCCTCGTCTCCCTCGCCTCGTCTCCCTTGCCTCGTCTCCCTCGCCTCGTCTCCCTTGCCTCGTCTCCCTCGCCTGAACACACCAGGCACCATAAAGGCCGGTTCCTCCCCATTTTCCTCACCTTTCCCAGGTCCTGTCCGCTCGACACGGGCATGTACACAGGGGGCATTACCACAGTGTACGTCTTTGACCATCTCGTCTCCCTCGCCTACTGGAACGGGCCCAACTTCTATCACACCATGCTCACAGTCATGCCTTCCCTCTCTCCTCACCCCAACCGCTCCCTTAACTCAGGTCCTGTCCGCTCGACACGGGCATGTACACAGGGGGCACCACCACCGTCTACGTCTTTGATCATCTCGTCTCCCTCGCCTACTGGAACGGGCCCAATTTCTACCACACCATGCTCGAAGTCATGCCCTCGCTCCTCTTCCTCCGCCCTTTCCTCCTTGCTAGCAACACCACTACCGCCTCCTCCTCCTCTTCCTCCTCTGCATCTTCTGCCGCTGGCCAAAACCAGAATGCCACCTTCTTTCCTATCCCCGTCGTGGTACGCCAACTACAGGAGCTTTACACGCACCTCTTTGCGCTTGTCGACGTGCCTGAATCTTCACTGAACATTCACATCATCCCAGACGACACGCTCTACTTCGTGAGGAGGTTGTACCTCCCAGCGCAGGCGCAGTGCGGCCGGCCGTCTGCTGCTCTCGTCACACATCTTCGTGACAAATACCTCGTCCCGCCGCCTGTTGGGGATGCGCGTGCGAGTGCGGGTGGAAGTGATGGGATCGGGACCGGGGGCGGAATGGGGAGTGGGGTGAATGGCAGCTTGAGTTTGGTGGTTGATGGGAGTGGGAGTGGGAGTGGGAGTGGGAATGGGAGCGGGAGTGGGAGTGGGAGTGGGAATGGAAGCCTGCCTTTGGATTGGGTGGTGGTGGTGGGTCAGAGGGACACGACTCGTCGCATCGTGGGGCGCTCGCAACTGCTGCAGGAGCTGTATAATGTCTTCCCCGGCGATCGCATCGTGGTGAGTGAGCGATCGCATCGTGGTGAGTGAGCGATTGCATCGTGGTGAGTGAGCGATTGCATCGTGGTGAGTGAGCAATCGCATCGTGGTGACTGAGAAATCGCATTCTAAAACTGCATTTTCGTTTTCACATGCAGACCTTATCCTGTTTTTCACTGCCAGCCTTCCCCACCTTTCTTCTTCCTCCATTCCGTCCTTCCCTCCCCTCTTCCTCCTCTATCCCATATCGAACCCCCTCTTTTCCACCACCCGCCATTTCTCCCTATCTGGTTTTCCACCGCCTGCCTGTTCTCGCCTGTGGCAGCCTGTTCATGTGTAAATTTACCCATCATGTACCGCGCATCTCTTTTCATGTCTTTACTCCACCTCCATCCCTCTGCACCCTGCTTCCTCTCTCCCTCTCCCTCTCCCTCTCCCTCTATCTCCCTTCCCTTCCACAGCTATTCCGAGGTAACCTCCCAGTCCTGGACGCCAAGCGTCTATTCAACCGTGCTCGCTTATTCATCTCTCCTCATGGTGCCCTTATGACCAACATGGTCTTCATGCCGTCCCAAAGTCATGTTGTGGAGGTCCGACCACAGGCTTTCGACAACAACTGTTACCACTTTTTGGCTCACATTTGCCACCATTCATATTACCTTGTTCATGGGAATGGGACCAAAAACTCCGATATTCATGTCGATATGGAGGACCTTGTTAGGGTTGTAAAAGGAATTGCTGGGAAGATCTCGACTTAGTTGTCTACATACATATACTTGGTACGATCTAAGACCCCTATATTCGTTTTGGACCAGGCTGATCCAACAGCCTTGGTATGGAAAAAATTACAAATAAACAAATGAATAAATAGCATTAAAAAAAAAAACACACACACACACACACACACACACACACACACACACACATACACACACACACACACGCAGACACACACACACACACACACACACACACACACACACACACACACACACACACACACACACACACACACCCTGACAGTACGCGTCTCCTAGGCAAAAAGCACTACAAAAATCAACGTTCATACAAAAAATACGCTGATTATGTGTAGCTACTAAGCAGAATTAAGAATCACAGATACTAATCATAACATTTTAATGGTTGGTTTAGAATGGCGGCGTAAGGAATTTTCCTAATTCCTTAGTGAGGCATTCCGTATGCGTGCAATTCCAACGTTTTGGAGTTCAGGCTCGGTCCGCCAACCTCGCCTTCCAAACGTCCCTCGCGTCGCCTTCCGGTTTCCTAACCCTAAACCTGCACCCAACCATCTCGCGACTCCGCGACCTCGGCCTAGCTAGCTTTGCTATATTGTGCCTAGGCCTCGTTGTTTGCTCAATAATTGCAATCACTTCCGCGATATTTCATTCTGCACACTCTTCTTTCGTACAACTCATAACACTTGGTACCATAACTACTTTCCTAGGTTATCCTCCACTTCCCGTGGTAGTTTTAGTGCAAGGGTGCGATAGACTTGGCGGGCTGCAAAGCGGTCGGCTGAGTCATAGATACGATTATCTCGCTCCCCGTTAGGATGAGTCTCTGAAACATGACGCTAGGGAGGGTTAACGAACATAAAATACAATTTTTCGTTGACGGTGGGGCGAGCCACAGTCTCGTCAACCTGGCAACGGCAAAAAAAAACCGGAGTCAAGCTGGACAGGTGTCTGCCCGAGATTGACGCGCGACTGGTGGACGGGACACCGCTGGCGATCAAGGACGAGGTCCGACAAATTCGGATGAAGTGTGGCGACGATTTCGGGTTTTCAATGAGGATGCTGACGACAACGCTGGACGGTTGCGATGTGCTGCTAGGACGGGATTGGCTGCAGCAATACAATCCTGCGATCGACTGGACGACGCGAGCAATCACGGTGCTGAGCAACAAGGAGCGTATGACTCTTCCGAAATGGACGGAGCCGGAGCGGATCACAACACGTGTCAACGCGATATTGCTGGAGAGGGCGATAAGCGGGGAGCGCAAGGCTACGCTGTACAGCTGTACGAGGTGGTTGCGTCCGAGAAAATCGCCAACATTGATACGCTCTGCGCTGCTGTACCAAGGCACGTGGCGAGCATAATTCGGAGGTATCCCGAAATTTTCGCGGATGACCTACCTGACGGGCTGCTACCTCAGCGACCAGAAGACCACAGAATCGAGCTGGAGCCAGGCGCAAAACCAACTGTTCGGTCACAGTGGCGGCTCAGCCAACCGGAGCTCGACGAGTTGCGGAAACAGCTGGATTATCTGCTCTCGAAGGGTTTTATCCGGCCGAGCACGTCACCATACGCCACCCCGATACTGTTCACGCCAAAGAATGACGGAGGCCTGCGCATGTGCATGGACTATCGAGCGCTGAATCGGATCACCATCAAGTCGCGTTACCCGATTTCGCGAGCGGACAACCTGCTGGATGAGCTTCGCGGGGCTCGCTTCTTCTCGAAAATCGATTTGCGAGGTGGCTACCATCAGATTCGTGTAATTTATATGAGGTGTTTCGGCGCTTGCAGCAGAATCGATTGATTACTGAGGGCTCTAAGTGTGAGTTCTTACAGCCGGAGCTGGACTTCCTGGGGCACATGGTCTCAAGGGAGTGTATTAAAATTGACCCTCGCAAAGTGAAAGCGATTTCGGAGTGGAAGCCGCCCACGAACATCACCGAATCGCAGAGTTCCCTCGGCTTCGTTAACTATGTCCGCCGTTTTGTACCGAATATGGCGGGGGTAACCAGGCCATTAACCGATCTTCCGCATAAGGGCGTGCAATTTTGTTGGTGGGGGAGAGAACAGTTGGCCTTCGACGAGCTGAAGAAAATTCTGAGTTCACCCCCGGTGCTTCGGCTGGCAAACCCATCTCGACCGTTCAAAGTCGTGACGGACGCCAACGATTTCGCCGTTAGTGCCGTCCTTCTACAGGACTTCGACAACGGGCTGCAATCCATCGCATATGAATCACGGAAGATGCAACTATCCTGTACACGACAAAGAAATGCTCGCCATCGTGCATGCATTTCGTACCCGCCGCTGTTATCTCACGGGAGTCGACGTCACGACCAGGACAGACCACAAATGATTACAGTACATGCGCAGCCAACCACAGCTCAACCCGCGACAAATCCTGTGGCTCGACTCGAGTTAAATTTCAGCTACGCCGTCAGATACAAATAGGGCGCCAACAACATTGCCGACGCCCTGACCCCCCCATCAATGCAGACCGCAGCAGTGCTGATTGCCCATTCTAACCCTTCATTGGCAGGACCATTCAAGCATGGCTACAGGACTGACCGATTTTTTAGGACGAATCAACACCAACGGGTCACCATGGCACATGGGAGCTATTACCTAAAAGTCGGTACCAACCGAGAGTTTGGGTACCTTCCTACCAACCCTTACAAGAGTTGTTGACGCAGGAAGTCCACGACTCCAACCTCTCTGGGCATTTCGGCGTCGACAAATCGTTGAAGCTGCTGCAGCGGGATTAATACTCGCCCGACATGGCGTCGGACGTGCAGCGCTACGTGTCCGCCTGCCCGACCTGCCAAGCAGTGAAGCCATCACGCCAATGCCCTGCTGGTTTGTTGTAGCCCCTCGAGCCACCCGAACGACCGTGGCAATATGTGACAATGGATTTCGTCACCGGACTGCCAGCTGGCGCAAGTGGCAACGACTCGATACTGGTCGTCGTCGACGGATTTACGAAAATGGCGCATTTCGCACCATACCGTACGACGATCACGGCTGAAGAAACAGCGAAGCTCTTCATCTCGACCGTCGTACGACTACGCGGATTACCTTCGGCGATCATCAGCGATCGAGACCCGAAATTTACGTCGAAGTTTTGGCATGAGACGCGGGCGCAGTACGGCACCCGCCTGCAGTTTTCGTCGTCATACCACCCGCAAACCGACGGACAGACAGAGATGACAAACCAGACGATGGAGAAGTTGATTCGCACGAACTGCCCCGACATCACCAAGTGGGAAGATTCGCTTCCCATGCTTGAATTCGCGTATAATAATGTCCCATCTGCGATGACCAATCAGTCGCCGTTCTACCTCAATTACGGGATAGATCCCGTGGTACCCTCTTCAACGACCCATGACAACCCGGTACCACAGTCGCAGCAGTTTGTATCGGAACTTCAAACAGCCCGCGACAAAGCAGCGGAATTCTTTTGGAAGGCTAATACCTCTGCCAGCCGCTACGCTGACAGACATCGACGGAATTTACCCTTCCGTGACTGACAAATGGTCATTCTGGACAAGAAAAATCTTCGACTGCCCCAGCCTGCAAAACTGCGTCCTCGCTACGGGACCTTTCCGCATCATTCGGATGCTGACCCGGTCACAACGAAACTTCTACTACCGGACGACGTGAAAATCCACAATGCATTCCACGCCAGCCTGCTCCGCCATTACGTGGCTCCGCAGCCGTCCGACGTCGCTCGACCCAACATCGCGGCAAGTGTTCGGCCCGTGGCAGACCCGACACTTCAGCCTTGGAAAATTCTCAATCATCGCATTCGTGCGACCTTGGCTGGACACCACATCGACTTTCTCCCACATTGGGTGGGTCGCACAAGCGAGGATGACACGTGGGTCCCGGCAGACTCACTACAAGGCCAGTCGGTACTTCGGGATTATCTTTCCCGCCGCCGCGTGCCTGATATTGAACACCTTTCTTAAGGGGGGAGGGGGGGTGGGGGAGTGTAAGGAATTTTCCTAGTTCCTTACTGAGGCACTCCGTATGCGTACAATTCCAACTATTCGGAGTTTAGGCTCGGTCCGCCTACCTCGCCTTCCGAACATCCTTCGCGTCGCCTTCGGGTTTCCCAACCCCAAACCTGCACCCAACCATCTCGCGACTCCGCGACCTCGGCCTAGCTAGCTTTGCTATATTGTGCCTAGGCCTCGTTGTTTGCTTTGTAGTTGTAATCACTTCCGTGATATTGCATTCTGCGCACTCTTCTTTCGTACAACTCATAACACGAGGGAAGGGTGGGAGAGCGACTTGGGCTGAGGGGAGAAACGTGGTGGGCTGGAGGAGAACCGAGAGGAGGCATTTCAAGTGAATAACGTGGGTTGGGGGGAGATTCTAGTGGAATTGGTGGGCTGGGAGGAGGGACACGCGAAAGAAGGGGGGTTGTGTGTGGGGGGGACGCTGGGGAAAATTCGATTTCCCGCCCCTGATTGACGGTGGTCCTACACTTCGCAAGGCTGTTTGCCAGTTTCAGTATGCACCCCGTACAAGGCTGTGTGCTCAGCCTACACTTGTACAAGCAGGCTGAAAAAATGGCTAAGATATAAAAGAAACACTAGAAAATCAGCCAACGTGCATGAACAAAAAGGCATGATCTAACGTTGAATCAGCGTGAAAAGACCGATATTTAGGGCCCTGATCTAAATGAACGTGATTGAAAACAAGTCCTTGCCCCCCCCCTCTCTCTCTCTCTCTCTCTCTCTCTCTCTCTCTCTCTCTCTCTCTCTCTCTCTCTCTCTCTCTCTCTCTCTCTCTCTCTCTCTCTCTCTAATGGTCCTTTCATTGATGTAGGCGGCGGATTACAGACATGCAGAGTATAGGCATAAGCTGACATCCAAGCAGTCAAAACAAGCCACGCATGCAATCATCTAACTCAGAACTAGACCTTCTGCCTCCCCTCTAGCCCCTCCCCACCTAGGGGAGGTCCAGGGCGGGCTCAAGGACGGTGAGGCAGTCCCCG